CCGGTCAAGATCAGCAAGCCCCCGCCACCAGAGCCCAGGGTGGTCAATTGAACGGAGAACCCGCTAAGACCCCGGTTGCTTTGAGCCAGCCACAAGCAGCCACTGCAAACCCATCAAGCCCTCGGAACAAGACCGCCCCGCCCCAAGTTGGATCAACCTTCTCAAGCAAGACAGGTGTGTCAGTGGAAGGAGCTTCTGCGCAGGCGGCGTATCCTGAGAACGCTCGCACGTACAGCAGCGTCGTGAAAGTGGGCAAGCAGTACACTGACGGTGCGCGGCGCCTGGTCAGAGCAGAAACTGACAACCGCAAAAACCTGGCAAACGCTCAGAGGGAAAAGACCCAGCAACGAAGCGTGACCCAACAAATAGCGAAAGCTACGGGCGCTCTTCGGGCCGAGGTTGCTCAGCTTGAGAAAGAGAAAGCTGAGATGGGGAACAACAACTCCAAGAAGGACGAGCAAATCAGACAGTTGAGTGCGGAGCTTCAGCGCGCCGCGAGGGGATGGCAGGACGCCTGGGAACAGGAGGCTTCGAAGTACAAGGCTGACATTCTGAACTTAAAGAAGCGCCTAGAAGAGTCGGATAATCATGGGAAAACCCTGCAAGCGGAGGTGCAGAGACGGGGCCAGGAAATCACCCGAGAGCAGGCCCGTGCGAATGCGGAGGCGGAGAAGAGGGTTGAGTCGGAGACCAGACTCCAAGCCCTGCAAAAGACTTCCGTCCATGAGCGCCTGTTCAACCAGGTCTCCGGGGAGTTGGCGGCCCTCAAGCAGCAACTGGGGGCTACGTCCGACGCAAACTGCATCGCCAACAGGAACGCCCTCAATTCGGCGGTCCAGAACTTGAAGAAGAAGGTCGTCTTCTGCGCCATGGCCCTGATGCAGGAGTCGGAGCCTCCCGTCGACCCCAGGGCTCTGCAGCCCAGCGCGCACTTCTCCAACCCGGAGGACAGGCAGGCCTTGCTGGAGGGTCTGCTGTCCCGCATCCTTTTCCAGGGCTTCGAGAACGAGGGGTTCGTACCGGAAGGCAGCGCGTGCTTTGGCAGCAAGCGGGACCGCTGCGCCAAGTACGAGGCTCAGTACAAGGCCCTCACGGAGCGTGACGCGGCGCCCCCTGGTTACGCAGAGTTTCTCCAGGAACGGACGGCGCTCATACAGAGCGAGCTTGCCAGGCTCCTGAACGTGGACCCGTCCAAATGCTCCGCCAACTTCGGGAAGTACTGGGCTGCCGCGCTGAGGGACGTCTTCACCCTGCATCTGCTAACGCTGGCCGCGCCCGTCCTCCCGCGGCTCATCCGGCGCGTGCGGGGGGATCCCTTCGATCCGGTGTACTGCGAGAAGACCTTCGCGTGCACGCGCGAGCGGGAGGGTTTCGTTGACACCGTCGCTTTCATGTTATACCCTGGGCTGTGCTTGATGGACGAGGTTGTGCCGGGCCTGACCAGCGAGGTATACCTGGAGAATCAGTTAGCGGCGGGGCAGCCAGAAAGCAACGGGGGGGAGCTGCACGTGCCCAACAACGGGCAAGCCTCGGCCGAAGAACAGCAGAAGGCAGACGAGGAAATGGCAGACGCAGGGCCAGGCCGCACGGTTGGAAACGGAGACCATACGCACTAGGCTAGATTCTCTAAGAGGGCTCAGACTTTAGAACTCAACCGCTTATGTTGTAACCTCTGATAACTGCCGCACGGTCTGCTTTTGATGCCCGTTAAGTAGGTGCAGGATTTAACAGTAGATAGTTTTCTATGCCAAGATTCTCACTCTTCGCCTTGCTTATAGGAACTTTTGGAACCTGTGCTTAGATAGGCATTGAACTCATTCGACATTCATTGGTTTCAATTAAATCAAGCGGCCCGCTTTTTCTCAACATGACCCACTCGTTTGCATTCCCTTTCTTCGTCGGCCGACTGCACAATCCTATCCCCACCTTCGCGACAGTCCTCAGCCATCGAAAGATGTTCCTTCGACTCTGACGTCCAGTTAGTCGACTTTCAGAATGTAAGTTAGCTGCATACATAAACATACGCAGCGAAACATCGCATGTACATCTGCGCATTCAATCTGGATACTCTTTATAAGTCGTCAACTCTACTCAGCTCATGTAGCTCGAGATCAGACCGTGTGGTTCTGACCACGTTGGTAATCTCCACGACCGCAGAACAGAGAGCTTAAATTTCATGTTTTGACTCATTGATTCGACTAGCATGTCCTGCACTAGCTATCGCCGTCTTGCTTTCTCTCCAAGGAGCAAATGCATTCGTACCCCAACTTTGTGATCATAGGCATGCTAGGATACAGCAGGATAATACGCCCCGTCAAATTGTCGGATTGGGGAGGACATGATTAATTGGCCTGGCGCATAACGAGAATGTTACAGTAGACATCGTCGGCCGATGTCACATGAGCATTGGGGTGGCCGGTCATGATGCGGAGCATATTGATTGTGGAATGAACAATCTTCTGAACAGCCGGATGTTGTTTCTGATGATTGTTCCATTGAATCGTTGGTAACGAGCTCCCATGAAGGGTTGTAACCAAGCTGGGTCCGGCTTGAAAATTATCGCCTCAACAATAAGCCAGATAACCATGAGAAGTACTTGTATTTGAATAAATTGGTGTCTTGACATTTATGTCATGCTGCTTGAAGGGCTTTTATGCACAAGTCTATTGGAAGAGCTGGCTGATTGGCAATGGTACCGGTGACGGGACAATTTGCAAGGTGCAGTTGGGTACTACGCAGAGCACAGACATCAATGGGACCGTCAAGAGCACTGAACTGATATAATGTCTGATCAAGAAGCTTTCTGAAAGCTTCGACTCAACGCAATCAACGGGACGATTGCATTGAAAGCAGAGCGTTTCAAAAATCAGAGAGATATCCAAGTGTGTCCGGAATGTTTCTTCGCCTGTAACCATACAAGGAAGTTCTGCATCGTTCAATTCATCTCTACCTATTGGCCTTTCACAAATTGTACTCGTCAGACATTCCTCCTACCATCTTCTCCGTTGCTGTTGAGAAACTCAAGCAAATCGGTTACTGCCTGCCTGCATAGGTTCCAAGTACACTTGGCACTTCAGCCCCGGTACGACTTCGTCCAGGAGGCAAAGACCCGGATAGACTGAAAACGCTACTTTCTTAGTGAACGCCCCGCCGTTAGTCGAGCAAGCCGGATCAAGCTCGCAGAACATTGGGTCGAAGGGATCCCCCTGCTGCCGGCGGATCAATCTGGGAGGGACGGTGAACGCTAGCGCCAGCAAATGGAGGGCGTACACGTGTCTGAGCGCTTCCGCCCAGTTCTTGTCGAAGTCTCGGCCCCCCTTGTCACGGATGTTCGCGGCCAGGACGCGCGTCTTCTCGTCCGCAAACGCCCGAAACTCCGCTGACTCCGGGGCGTCACCCTCTACGAACGCCACGTAGGACTGCTCGTACTTGGCGCAGCGCTCGGCCCTCCCGTAGAGGCTTGCCGAGCCCCCCCTTCTGAAGCTCTCGTTCTCGAACCCCTCGAAAAGGACGTCCGAGAGCAGGCTGCTCAGCCTGCATTCCCTGGCAGCCCGTGAAGCGAGCTCCCGCCCCGTGGCTTGCGGCTCGTGCGTCAGGCTCTGGGCGCAGGCCGCAATGCTCTTCACAACCCGCCTCATAGCCGAACCGAGCGAGGCCTGGTTGGTGAAGCGGTTCGCGTCCGAGGACCCCGCAAGCTGCTGCTTCACCCGCGCCAACTCCTTTTCGATCTCCGTGGAAAGCGACGTAGCCTGCTGCAGGCGTCTCTCGGTTTCGTGCAGCTTGGCCTCCGTCTGCGCTAGCCGGTCTTTGAGGGATGAGCAGTCAGGCTCCTCCTGTGCCCCCTGCGCTTTACCCCGAGCGTCCGCCCCAGACCGCTTGATCCTGTCCGATTGTTCGGACCCTCTGACCGTTTGACTGGCCGCGTAGACTTTTTTCTGAGCCCCGGCCAAACTCTCTGCTCCTTCACGGCTGGCCATATTTTCGAGCTCTTGCCGCTCTCTGTTGAGCCGCTCGGTGTGAAGTTTAAGCTCCGTCTCATGCCTGAGCTTCTCAGCCCTGACGGCCCCCTCCCCCTGAGCTTTCTCATCCGCTAACCTCTCCTTCAGTTGTGCCAAGTCCTTGGTCAGCCGGCCCTCTCTCTCCGAGCTAGTTGCAAGCTCACTCTGCATTGTCTGAAGTTCCCTCTTCATGCTAGTGCACTTTTCTTCCCTTGCAGCCAGCGCTTGCGTCGCGCTCTCGAGCTTTGCTTGCAGACTTGTCAGCTTGATCTGGGCGCTTTGCCTCCGCTGACGCTCCCCATCATATTTGTCCTGCCATTCTTCTGCGTTGTGAAACTCAGTCGCCTCCGCTTCCCGCACATTCACGACAAGGTCACCCCTTTCAACCAGGCGGGAAACTTCCTCGGCTTCGACCAGAATCTGCAAAAGCTCGGCTGCTTGTTTGCTTTTAAACTCTGCTAGCTTCGTCTTCAACTTTTCCGCAGCTTGAAGAAGATCTCGCCGGGAAGAAACCAAACCCTCCTTGTCAGCCGTGGTCTTTCCGGTCGCTTGTCTATAATCAAGGACCGGCTGATGTGCTTCTTCCAACCGGCTGCTAGATGGTCGCGCTGTGACAGGCTTTGCTAAAGGGCCAGCAGTTGCTTTCAGGATCGGACTACTCAGCCTACTTGAAGCCTGCCCTGTATACACGCTCTTGGCGGCAGATGCTTTATATAAAGTACTGTCACCTCTTTTAGAGTAAAAAGAGGACGCCATTCTCTCTTTTTGCCCTTCTGCGTCCGCACGTCTACTGCTGTTCATTGACATGTTTCTCTATGTTGAAAAAAGGGCGCACAAATCCCTCCAACGCTGCACAGTCATCGCCTGACGACCGAGCATCCTCTCCAAGGGTCTGAGCAAGTCTAAAATCTACTTGATCACGACCACGATCATTCAATGAATTTTCCAATCACTTGAGAACCCCTTTTTAGCTCAATTGCTGACCGTCCAATCAAATCGGGTTGACTCAGTCAGGCCCTTCGATATATGACTCTATGACGTCGACTTGCGTTCAGCCTCTCCAGTTGTTGTATACTACTATTCAAGGAAGTCAAGAAGTACTGCTGATCTTAAAGTAGGTACCTTCTGACAGATTGGTGCCATGTGCAGTCCCGGAGTTTGAGATGAGATGGCGTCTCTTATATACACTTGGAGTGATGTTCAGACAAAAGTGTTGTTGTAGTTGTTGACTAGATTTGTATCAATTTCTTTGGTTGAAAGTCGCAATCAGTCCGGCATGTCTCATGCCGGCGTGTCGGTTTGCTAAGCTTCGCACGTTCCATCCTCACTGTACAGCTGTACAGCAATATATGTACACCCGTTCTCTCAGCTTCACAGGAATCCCTGTATCAGCTTGGTGTAGTAAGGGTTGCCATGCGCTTGGCTAGAGAACTAAGAGGGTGCCGCGTGGCAGCCGCAAAGCGCTTAAAGGTGATAGCACACATGCCCGATGTTGAACGGGTGCTCGTGTATAAGAAGGTTTTCTTTCCCGCTCGACGACTTTATGCTATGAGATCGGTCACTATGCAATCGTACAGCTTGAGTACAATCTCAGCCACTCACAGTACTCAAAGCAACGTTCTAGAAGTCCGAGAGTAAGGGCTACGTCCACACGATCGACGTCGTCTCATCTTCCAGCACCGGAAGGCTTGAGAAAAAGCGGCAACCGACGGTGGGTGTCCTGAAACCGCTGGCTAAGCTAAGACAAACACTCAGCCCTTGTCAATATTGTGTTCCATTTTTCAGAAATCTAATGTCAGATTGCTGTACAGTTTCGGGCTATGAATTAGTACAAAATCGTCAAGAAATATATTTGAAGCTGGTCTGCCGTTCTCAGGCTGCTGAGGCCTGGGTACCGGCTAAGGCCTGGGTACCGGCTAAGTACCTGATAAAGAGGACAGCGCCCGGAGCGAGTCGCTAAACTGCAGTGCCTGGCCCAATTCTGCCGATCATGCAGGTATCAACACGTACACATAATGAGTCATGACCCCATACTTGGCCCCACCTGTCCCGGAGGCCGATTTCTGTCCGAGTCGGCTTGCAAGGCTACCTGTCAATACCGTACCAATTGTCCGGTTGGGCAACAATTAAATATTCTTTGAGTTGCCCAAATATTTGAATTGAAAATACATTCCGATTAAGGTTTCGCTGATCATTTTGCCCCGTAAAGAAACAAAATAAATGCATAAATGAAGCTGCCCAAAATCCATGAGATACGAAATTAATTATTGGGCAAAAATCTGCCCAACCGGACAATTGGTACGGTAGTATACCTAGGTAGTAGCTGGACTATCGTACGGGCCGCAATTCAGCCGAAACCGAGTCAGAATGCTCAACCGTACTTGCAACCGTCTACTTGTAGTGGCATGCGCGTATTGAAATTCTTGGCGTTTTTTGCAGTCCGTCGATCTCGCGCTTTGGAACGAATCGACGGGTTCGACAAGGTACAATTGCCATAACTTTTCTGACGCGCGCGGGCCCAAGCTTGTTGCGGTTGAACAATAATGGGTCGTACTAGTGTACGGCATTACAAGGTGAGCTGTTCCCCGCGTACCGGCCACTCGTGCAGGCCTTACTAGGTAGGTACTATCCGGTTCATCCAATTCATACTCCTCGTCCTCATCGAAACATCCAGGACCTGCCTCTGAGGACGTGAACTGTACCGTACATCTAGCCGTCCTGACCACATGATCTACAATGTTTGGGACGAATCCAAACAGCAGCGCGCTGCATGATGCGCTTGACGTCACTTCAGTAGCCTCCATGTGGAAACCGCTCCCAGGCCGCGCGAACATTCCGCGGAAGACTGGCCTAGGATCCGACGCAAAGGTGATGCGCTGGGCAGACTGGATTTGTCAGTTAGTGTGCTTGCTAATACTAATTATGCAGTACACTTTGTGACAGAACCGTCCGCTCCTCGTTCCACAGTTCGTTCGTTCGTTGCCTTGGCCGCACGATACTGGGGCTTCATACGCCCACTCGCGTGCTGGCGTGCTAGCTATGGTCCATGAGTATGCAGAACGACTATGTGGATTGTCATAGCTCGCACTATGACGATGAATCGCATTCCCGTGTGCATTGCACTAGCTAGTGCTTGTGAATTTGCTCACCTAAGGAATGATGTCACTAGTGAGTGGCTTGAATTAGTACGTCTGCACAACTTTGAGCGAGAATGGACCGCATTAGTCTTGCTGGGCAGCGTGTGCAGCCGGAATCGGCTGCCTTGAACTTGAAGCGCCGCTTGTATGCAGTTCCGCAAGCCATATTGCTGAACCTTTACGAGAACCTACAGAAGGTACTCACATGAGTCTGCCGTTGTGTCCTTTGCACCTAAGCCGTCAGCTGTGTGTACGTCATGCAATGCGTACAAGGGCTGCCTGAATGATCGTGCTTTCTTAATAGTGCTGAGTCACCTGCTTGTGTGAGTGCTTTATCTTCCTGACCTGCTTGACAGGTCGAGAACCGTCCCCGTAGCAAAGTCTTCCTAGGTGCCAGTATGCTAGGTAAGAACTTAGGATTCCAAGGTCCAGCTTAACAAGGAGCGTATCAAGATTCGTGAACACATTTCTTGGAACTCTCTTCAACACTCCGTGCTCTATTTCTCTCACACTAGCTACTTTCGAAGACGCGACCCGCTACTTCCTTCCCTCTGTCACCATGGATATTACCGCGGAGGAGTCCAAGTACGTGATTGGGCTGGACTTTGGAACCACTTTCTCTGGGATCGCCGTAGCCGCCCGCTCTTCCAAAGATAAGATCTTCATCAAGGAGGATTGGGAGGCCCAGACGGAGCTGGTGGGGGGCTCATACTGCAAGACGATCACTGCCAGCCTTTACCACAATGGCAAACTGGAAGGCTGGGGGTGGCCAGCGTTGCTCAAGTACAACAAAGCCGTTGAGGGGGCCATCATCAACCAGGCCAAAAGCGGCACGCATGACCCCAACAAGGACGTGGATCTGGGCGGAATGGAACTGCTGGAGCGCTTCAAGCTGCTGCTCGCGCCTGAGGGAACCGCGAAGACGGCCCTTGTCCTGCCTAAGGGCCTGACCAAGGAAAAGGTAGTGGCCGACTATCTGGCGTGCGTTGCGGAGGCGGGGTTGACCCTGCTCCGGAAGAACTTCGGCGACTTCATCCAGCCGGAACACGTGCAGTGGTGTCTCACGGGTGAGGATCGAGTCTCCGTGGAGCGTGAATGTTTGTAACACGAATGCGGTGCTTTTGGAAGGGGATGCTTTGGCTGCTTCAGGGATTTCAGCGGAAATAGGAAGGGTGCAGAACCACCGTTAGGCTCCCAACAAAAATGCACCACTTGAAAATCGGAGTTGGGATCGGAAAGGGTCCTCTAAGATGATGTCTTGTGGTAATGACACGGTGTTGAGAGGAGCGTCTTTTCAGGCGCTCCGCAGAAATAAGTGATATCTCCAAAATATACACTCTATCCGACCGGAGTGAGATCCTTCGTCACGAGTCAGGCAATAATCGCTAGACGACAATGGTGTTTGTTGAAGCAGTGATGGGCTGCAAAATTGCAGTTTGATCTGATGGTTCTTGTTGATTCCTACAACTTGTTCGTTCGAGCGACTCAAAAGTACTTCAAAGGTTTTCCTAAACCAGTCTTGTGCTTCTACGCTTACGTTATCCTCCAATCTCCCACGACTACGACAGCGGACACCCTGCTTGGAACTTTGCATCTGGGCTACTTCTCCTCTGTTAAGATTCGGTCACGGAATGATAAGGTGACCGCAAAAGCTATTTTGTAAGAAGCATCTGATCGTATATGAACTATATGAACCATGAAATGAATCTTTGCGGATTCTTGGCATCATTCGTTTCTACTTCAGTGGTTTTCCCTTTGTGCTGGGCGCTTCGTAATTCACCTGATCGAGAGGAGAATCCAGAAATCACAACTCTCTCTTTTTACCGACAGTCTTTGTTTTTGCACGTTTGATTGAAGGTCAACTTGAAGGAGACTGAATGCCAACTTCCTAAATCTTCCTGAAAATCTTCCTGAATCTTCCTGAAAAGTACAGCAATTGTCGAGGATCCTCGAATCCGGTTTGCAAGGTAATCTGCCGCAGCGAGAGTCCAGTCTTCCACTCAAAGTGAGATGAATCCCAAAGATGTGCTTGGTGCAATTGGCGCGCTTCTTCCGACCTTCTACTTTCTGCACCAAATTCTTTATCTGATGCACTCTGCAGAATAGCTATCGACCGAAACCTCGTTGCCCACATTGCTGCCCAGCATAAAAGAATCGTCTACCCTGGACATTGGTCGCTGTGCTTCTCGGTTCAAGTGGGGACTCAGCAGATCTTCTGCAACTACTTCTCTTTGTCAAAACTAACTGTATGATTTCTCGTTCAGTAAAGCGCCGCCTGTCTATCTGGCAGCACCGTTGCCTGTTCTCAACTATTGACCGTTCTCTTCTCGCAGTGCCCGCTATCTGGACCAATGCTGCGAAGGTGGTGATGCAGAAGTGCGCCGAGCAGGCGGGTCTGTTGAAAACCAAGACCAACCCCAAGGGCAGTCCGTTTCCGCTCATCATTGTTCTGGAACCGGAAGCCGCGTCCCTGTACTGCCAGCGGAACCTGGAAAAGGAGCTATCTCTCCAAGACAACGAGCCGTACATGGTGGTCGACGCCGGGGGCGGCACCGTCGATCTAGTTGTCCACGAGAAGCGCGGCGAAGGCTTGGGAGAACTAGAGATGGGCAGCGGCGGCACGTGCGGCGGGTCCTACGTGGACGACAACTTCTTCAAGTTCATGGCCGCCAAGTACCCCTTCTTCGGCAAGTGGGCGGGCATCCACAAGACCGGGCTGGACGAGCTCAAGCGCGACTGGCACACGCAGAAGAAGCTCTTCAAGGGGTCCGACGAGAGCATCCTTGTGCGCGTCCCGCACTCGTTCCTCGACATGGCGCGCGACGAGGGCGTCAAGGAGGCTTTCTCCAAGGGTTCGATCACGGTCAGCGGGGCCGAGGTAGCCGCCATCTTTGAACCGGTCGTGGAGGACATTCTGCAGCTCGTGCGGGACCAGCTGGCGAAGCAGCCCGGCTGCAAGACGCTACTGCTGGTGGGCGGCTTCGCGGAGTCGGACTACCTCCACGACAGGATCAAGGCGGAGTTCAAGGCCAAGATCCCGGTCATCGTGCGCCCGGCGCAACCGGGGAGCGCCATCATCCAGGGCGCGGTCATCTTTGGCTTTGACCCGCGCAGGGCGATTCTGAACCGGAGGTACGCGTCCTTATATTCACCAGAAGAAACCCAATGCGGGTTGGTGTGAACAGGCCGGAGCGATCTCTCTATGCATGATTGGTGCATCGTTGAGTACCGTCTTTCGCTTCTGATTCTCAAGTTTGTTGACCGAATCAACGCAGTATCAGTTTAATCATTTATCAGCATCCGGATGATGGCAGCTCGTTGTCGAATTGGTGGCTGGTAGATTGAACTGGAAATAGTAGAGTCTGATGCCGATCTCCAAAGATCCACTTTATAATTGTTTGGAAGAGAAAAGAGGACAGTGACGCCGTTGTGATCAGATCAAATATTTGGCTTCGAGGAAACCTGACGTTCTTATTTGGCTACCCGTTCCACGTCCCTGTTTTTGGCCTACTTCAATCCTTTAAGGCACATATTCAACTGGGAGGGCACAGATTGCTCTGGACTTCCACAGTGTAGAAAGCGCTATATGTTACAATTTTGACTACAGATCCCGCAAGACGTACGGCATCGAAATTGCTGAAGAGTTCGTGGAGAGCCGCCATGACGCCAGCAAGAAGTTCTACGAGGGGAGCCGCGCCTACTGCCGCAACCGCTTCCTCAAGTTCGTGACCGTCAATCAGGACATTTCGGTCGACGAAGTCGTCGAGCACATCGTGTTGCCGCTGAGCTCCACGCAGAGCGCAGTGTCCATTACCCTATACAGCACGGATCAGACGGACCCAGAGTACGTGACCGACGCCGGGCTGCACAAGGAGAGCTCCATTGTGATGGACCTGTCACAGTCGAGCCTCGGCAAGAAGAGCCAAATCGTCGTGAGCCTCAGCTTCGGCTCGACCAGCATTGAGGTCAAAGCCAAGGGCGGCAACTTCGCGGCGGAAGATGTTAAGTGTGAGGTGACCGGCCATTTTGAGATGCACTAGACGAGGCTCGCGGGTGCCAGGAGACCAGGTACTAGGCTGCTCTCTGAGTTTTGCCCTTAGGGGCCCGCGGGGTTTGATCATACTAGCTTGCTCAGTTCGTAGTTTGACTAATTTCAAGTATACAGCTCAAGCTCGACTTGAAAAGCCATTGGCAGTAGGACCATACACAGCTTTACTATACTTGACAAGTTCAATGAACACCGTGCGCATCATCATTGCTCACAAAGTGACGTTTCCGGAGTTATAAACAGACAATCTGCATGATGCAGTCGGTAATTGCTGAGCACTATTATTACTGAGCACTACTAATATTTTAGTGATCACAAAGGTTCTGTCTTCATCAAGCAGCGCCCATGCAGGCCCGCAATATATAATGAATAATACCCGTAGGTAGAGTAGCGGGATCGACGGGATACTTACCTTGCAGTGATTGGCCGTACGTCACGGTGTGCGGCACGCGCGCCTCGATATCATGCAAGCCCCTATATTCTATCAATTGAGGCAGGCTCAGTCCCCCGGCTGCTCAAACTGGTTATGCTGCGGCATGCCAGTCCGCTATATAAGCCCTAGCACATATACCTAAGTGCACTCGTGTAAATATACGTACACGATGATATAATTAAAGAGATCGTGCCATGCATGTGTTGCAGATGACTCAATTTGACATCATCAATCGTATAAGTTCTTGAAACTATACAAAATATCGTGCACTATAATCATTGTATGTTCAAAAGCTCCAAGGCCGCTTCCTTTGCGAGATTAAGTTCACTCTGCGGATCCTGATGCTTGCGCATTCGCAGTATCGATTTCAACTTATCCGTACTCATACATATGGATTCAGCATATACGGAATTGTACAAAGTCGCATGCGGACGGCGATATGTGTATGACCGTTACCATCCAGGATTCCGTGCGATCTTACATGTATTTTCAACGTCACTGTACTTTGACGCACTGTCCGGTTCCAAATGGTGTCCAAAAATCTGTGCTGATCAAGAATCTGATGTGAGCCGGACTCTGAGTCTCGTGTACGGCCGAGCGCTAGACTGCGAGTACAGGTTCGTAGGAGTGCGCTAGTTTTCAAGGCAGGCTTCTTGTCATGCGCAGTCTACGGATTCAATGTGCAATTTCCATTGTTGCTCCCGAGCTTCTACATCCTTGTATAGCGTGTCCTAGTCCCCCTTCGATCCTACTCGAGCGCACTGGAAAGCCCTAAAGCACGCTCGCTGCAGGCTGCGCCGACGTCGACATGCTTTTTGTGAAGGCTGTGAGCGAGGGAAAAGCGCGAGTCGCACGAATGGACCCAACGCCGGTCGTGCTCTTCGAGTGGATCTCCCCCATCGGCCATCGCGGCCGCAGTTGGACCTGCAAACGGCGTGGCATGAAATGATTCATGCAATGTGCTAGTACTGGATGGATTGCAAGCGTTATGTGCACCAATTTTGGGCTTACAAATCTTGAAAAGATCAACGTACTCCAGGTAACACGGACTATCTTCGATTACCATTGGTTCAGCTGAAGGCTGATGCACGGCAGACACGGAAACGGGCACGAAGCCGACACGCAACTCCCTGCGAACAATCTGCGCGTTTCATCACGTTCCTGCTCGCCGAACGCCGCAGTGGAAAGGCCATAAGCTTTTCCTTCTCAGTTCAGAGACTCCGCCAACAAGTCGACAGCGCCCCAAAGAGCAAACATAATCAGTTCCCAATATCCCGTCCTTCAAAAAGCTAGAAAGCCATCTAGTTTCCGAGCCTATGTTCGCAAACAAACTTCTCTCAAGGCGTCAGCGCAGATGAATTGTCTGGCAGACTGACCATGGTCGTCGCCAGCAAACGAAGACTATTTTTTATTTTTTTCTTAACACCAATGAAAGGCAGACCTTTGTAAAACGTGAGACGTCAACAGAAAGAACAACCAATTTGAGTGCCGTATGAGTAACTCCAGGGGGCGCGACAGCCGTGAAAGAAGGATAGGAACACGTCACGGCCCGCCAGCAACCGAGACGCATCTCAAGGTCTTCGCTCACGTTTGAATGGTCCGTTTCCTCTAGCGGCGGCGGCGGCTCTTCCAGCCCCAGTCGCAGCCGTTCGACTCCTGCCCATGCCACCATCACCCCTGGGGAATCAAACAGCGCAAATCAGCGCAAATATTGAAATACGCGTTTGGGGAAGTAAGCAAGCGTCCCCCCCGGATACTGGAACAATGCAGCGTGCTGGTTCGTGGATGTGAAACGAGAACAATTAGCTTCTTAGTTATGAGTGTGCTATACTATTTGCGTATTACGGAGACAAAGAGCAAAAATTGTGAAGGTGGCAATGCAGTCTGACTTGTGCGGGGAGCAAAAAGTCGCCAGTGTCCAGAAGGCAAAACCAGCACGCCAGTGACTTACAGAAAGAGCACCCTCTACTCAACGTCAAAACTGGTTTTGAGAACTTTGGCTCCTTAAACCTTTGCGCTTGAAGGTAACATGATTCAGGCTCTCGTTCTCTACTGGATTCATATCCTCTTTGCATTACGGTGTGACAGGTGACTAAGACACCTTACCCGGAAATAGAAATGCAGAACCAAGAGAAGCTAAGCTTACCATTGTCGGTACATAACCGCGGGGGCGGGCAGACTAGCCGGATCGGCGTGTACTCCTTTCGTTTCATCCCAAGTTTAACCTCTCTTCGAGTCAACTCCAGGGGACCTTCTTGCACAGCGCGCGTCAGGCTTTCGCGGACGTACTTGTTGGCAGCCACGCCCCCAGCCATGACCTGTGAATGACTCATCGATTCAGGAAAAGAAAGCTTCCAAGATCTCAGGCTCCTAACTTGACTCTTCATACCTTTAATCCCCGAAACACCTGCTCCGCACCTGTACCAAGTTCAAACCCCCAGACTAACCCCACCCGTCCCAGGTTGGTGACAACACCATTCTTACGCTTACTGTTTCTAAATTGGAGTTTTTTCACCTGTAGGAAGACACGTGAGCTCCGCTGGCTTAAAAGAAAACCGTTCGTGCATAAGATCACGATATCAATAAGATTGGCTGGTTTCCTCGCCGAGCGCAAGCAAGTCCTCGGAAATCTGCCAGAAAGATCAAGAAAGGAAAGAAAGAGCAAGGAACGGAGTATCGCACGGATGTGAGCTTGAGAAAAGGTATGGAAATCAAGGGCATTCTGGGGACGGTAGAAGGAGGAACAAAAAGGAAGAAACTCTAGAGGAACCCAAGCATCGCGAAAAACGCTACACAGGCGGTGCACCAATAACTGAAAAAGAAAAAGGAGTTCAAATCTATTGATTTGGAAGGCTGGTGGAAGAGAAGAGGTTGATGAATGATACAGAAAAGAATGCTACAAAGGGTTTCAGGTCAAAGTTGACGCCATATCTAAGTATTCAGGACGCTTCGACTAGTAAACGTGCCCGGAACTTATTCAAGCGAAGGGTTCGTTGACGCGCTGCTCACCAAGCACTTGATGTTTGGTTCCTGTTCGAGCGCCCATCCAATTGCGCGCCGTGTCCGCTCCTCTAGATGCGCTACCGCAACGCGCTGTGGATCAAAGTCAAACAGCACGTTCAGCACCTTAGCTTTCGTCGCGATCAGGATCTACTTCTTCTAACTCGCAACCAAGAAAATACAGGGTAAATCTATTCGGAAATCGACTAAGTCGATTCCGCAAATCGAAGGTTCTCGACTGGATCCCTGGTCAACAAAATGAGGAAACACTTTGACGACATCTTCGACCCCGCAGAAACTGCGAGGTCTCACGTCATGCAGGAACGCATGAAGAGACTTCGAGAGAAACGCAAGAGAAGAGTTTACCGGAATTCAAAGCCTCAGAGCTCGGACCTCAGAATGTTACTCATGTGCGAGAACTTGCAGAAGACTTGAGCGATCATTAAAACAGTCTCCGCTCCTCCTCGCTTTTCACAAGTACGAATTTCAGATGCTATAAAATGGTCAGTCCTCAAGCGCAGCCCTCACCTGAAAGGACGCCGCAATATCCGCTCGCAGCTGCCGTTCCGTCGCGTCCACGTCAGCAAGCGGCCGCTGCTCGGCCCCGGGAATCTCCGACTCGATCGCCAATCGGACGTTGGTCTTGAGGCCTGGATACGGGAAATGAAGGCGTGGATGTAGGCTGAAGTAATGGTTTTTCCAACGTGTTACTGCGTATGCTTGTGAGCACATTCCTTTTAACGAGCTGCTTACGGCCAGGATATTGTTACAAAAAAGAAGAAGGCGAAAAAGCAAAGGCTCGAGCAAGCGCTGGTCTTCAGTCTAAAAGCCTGAAAAAAACTGGTTAGTTTAACGAATTTGCGAGCTAGACAACGGTAAATTGTCCCATGCTTGATTTTGGAAACGTGGGCCACAAAAACGATGCGTTGAGGGGACAATCTTTGCTCGAGTCCAAGCAATTCAATTAATATGAGGAGCAGACAGAATTTGCAGCCCTGGTTTTCAGACCGACGAAAGCGATGTGGCGGGAAAGCATAAGCAGCGGAGGACGGAAGCCTGCCGCTGCACTATAGTCCCGGCTCTCTGTGTGCACCCAGAAATGGCACCCCCACAATGGCAGGCCGGCGGAACCGAACACAGCTGTTGAGAGCAAACCAAGAGTGCACGTGGCCCTAAGGCCTTTGTCGAAAATGCTCTAAGACTGTGCACTACATTGCGAATCCACTAAGAACGAGAAAAACGAGGATGTAATGCAGTGTGTGAACACCCCGCTTTCAGAGTGTTGCATTACAATTTTGAAGACCGCAACAAGGTATTCACATACTTAGTAAAGGTACAACGTCAGCAATCATCTCAAGCTGAAGCGTTGATGAGAAAAGTCTGACCCAAGGAGAAGCAGATTATCGGAGGGTATATTTGGATATAGAACTGGGGGGTGGGTGGCAGGTGTGGTGTGCTATTCAGACACAGTTTTTGCGAAACGAGTCGCCAAGCGAGGGAAAAGAGCCCCAGCATCGAATGAATGCTTGGCCCAAGGCAAATGCTGCATTCTCACAAAGCGTCCGTGGTACGGTTATTTTACATCGTAGCCTGAAAGCTTGGTGGCAACCGACTCGCATGAATAACAGTTCCGCTTTGTTTCTAATCAGCAAGAGAAAGACGTATCATAGTCAAGGAGTCTACTACAACAGCAACTTCATACCAATGGCCAACTTCCGTCTACAACGGTTCAGAAAAGGTGTCTCACCCGCATACGAAAAGTCGCAAGTCTTCGACCCCGTTTTGCTGGCCCGCATGGGAACAGAGAACTTGAAGCGCTGGGGGTCCCCTTCCCTGGCAAGCGCTTCTAGGGCGGGACCCCCCCCTTTGCTCAGATCCAGGCCCAAAAGGCGCGCCGTCTTATCATACGCCTGCAGGGTCCGATATCCACAACTCAGACTTGACTTTGAACGCGGACTCGGCCCATTCTGATACAAACCACGCAAAGAGAGCTTCCAAACGCTTCGAAACATTATGGGCGCTCTAGGAGGAGAAACCTGTGATGCTCTTGAAAGGGCGCTATTGTGCAGCTCAGATACAAACTAGTCAAAACATTAATCATAGGCGGAAATGAGGGCGCGTTTGTGCACACGGTCTAAAACAGGCCACGTGATAGTCAACACGGGAAAACGAGAAGGTATTCAGAGTACAGGGAGGTAGAGTCCTAACCCCATTGCTTTTGACCAGATAATAACCTGGTATTCAGCCTCCCACTTCAGTGCTTACCAGTGCGCGCCTTTCCCAATTTCGACGCACACATATTCCACAATTCCTGGTCTACGTGATCAAACAACCGACTTTCATTGCTTCGAAACACAGCAAACAAGGCCACGAACTCTCGGCTGACATGAACTGAGGCGAATTGTCTTACCTCCCCAAGCGCGTCGTCTAAAGTGGTCCCCAGCTGAGTGTAATGCCCGACGCTGTGGGCCAGCAAAAGAAGGTTGTGCCCCCCCGACACGAGGAGCGTCAGGAACGGAAAGTTGACGCCGTCGTTCGTAAGCCTGCGGAAAGAGCTCCACAGGATTCGAACCAGAGGTGTATCTCCAAAAGAATGACAAACCAGGATCTGCAAGTCAGGTTCACACAGCATACGCAACTCTGAACTGGACTAGTTCCACGATGTTGAGTTTCGCCAAAGGGGTCATATTCGTTGTGAAGTTTGGTGTTCCCCTCCCTAGTCCCTAGCCAAAATTTGAGAAGCAGAGCGAGCTATGCAATCGTCAACATGTTAACCAGTCGTCCAGATCCAATAGCATATATCAGCCAGACCGTTGTTGACGCAAGGCTTCACCTCGACTTGCCCTGGCTCATTGAAAAAGGGTTTCCCAAGTTTCTCACTTACGCCTCAAATCCACGATCCTCGTCGATAAGACATGTTCGGCGTTCTCATGCTGCTATGTCATATGCTATACAACGCCCATTTGTCCAGACAAACGAGATTTTAGAACCCCGAATTGACCCATTCTTTTCAACATTCAACCTCCAGATGTCATACGTGCTTCAGGCTCCTGGTTGGGCTCGCTTATGGAGGACATCAGATATCCCCTCACGACATCCCACTGCTTCACGGCGCCTCTTCTTACACCAATCCAGATGAAACATCTAGCTTTTTGAGGAGCTTTTGCGAAATACTTCATTATTGCACACCAGCTTAACCCACTTCCTAAACCTCACCGTGCGACCAGCGCGTGCGCCTCCATATGGTGTACGCTGATGAGGGGCGTCCGGTGTTGTCTTGCAAGTTCCCTCGCTTTCATGGCGCCTAATCTGAGACAGAGGCTTAACCCTGGCCCGATGGTCACCGCAATTGCCGAGAGATCACTAGCGGAGACACCCGCATTTGAAAGGGCCAAGTCGACCACCTGAAGAAAGGAGGAAAATGGTGGTGTGCTTGTTCAACTGCTTGCAAGAGCAATATCTTGAATCAACGACAGGATGTGCTTCAGAATGTAGAGCGCCCTATGAGAGATATTATAATCTTGTTAGGCAAACAGTTTCTTTCAACACATCAGTAAACAAATGTGGCAGCTACCAGCACGTTCAGCAGTCCCTCTGCCAAAAAGTCACGAGGGGCGTCCTTTCATGAGAACATGACGAAGCAGACCACCGATGGGATCTTCCTATACATATGTCTCAATTCGCAATGCTAAGGATTTTGCAACATTCAGCGGCAACGTCAACGCTCACCCCATCAATCGCCTTCTCGTGTTCTCCCTTCGCCAAGGCCGGCACGACACCGCCCCACTGCGCGTGTATCGCAGCCGACGATGCGAGTGCCTCGCCCAATACCCGCCCATCAGTGCTTACCACCGCAGCACCCGTTTCATCGCAGCTCGTCTCAATGCCGAGAACTAGCCTGGATGCTTTCTCAACCGAACCGTTTTCACTCCCATTCTCTGTGGAAGCTTCCGCTTGAACGGTCGCTGGCTCAGCGCTGTCTGATATCTCTTGATTCTCCATGCTTTCTACGTTCTCAGCGAGACAAAAGCTTCTGCTAACTCCTTGAGAAGGTGCTTTGACCACTGACCTGGAGAATGCCAAATGGTGGCAGATATCCGCAAAGCTTTGAGGGCTCAAAGACCCGACGGAAGCGCGACTTAAGGGCTCCAAAAGAGCAGACCTGCACGCTCGGCTGACCTGGTGTGCTGCCCTATGGAGCGCCAGGTGCATAGGAGATTGGGAAGAGTGGCGGCTTATGGTTGCCGCGCCCAACCACTGTTGCTGCAGGCTTAGAAGAGTCTGTTCCTGCTTGAGAAGAGTGAAGGCACCAGGCTGATGAGTGCGCTGAGCCGTGAGAGATGCCACCATCGTCTTCTAGGCAACAGTGGCGGTGAAAATGGTGTCAGCCATGGTGCTTCTGCTCCTGCGAATATGCGAAGTCAGAGAACTGCAACAGACAATGGCTTGTATAAGCTATGCATTCAAATGCATCTCCGATGGTCGATGAAATTCCGCATTTATGACGACGTCAAATTCCCCTAATTCATTGGCATCAAAGGATTCTTCCCCCACTGGGAGGCCACTGGCACTACCTCTCAAAGCTCAAAAGGAGATGCTTCAGGCGCCATTGCGCATGCATCCATTCTGCAGTATTCTGTCTGGCTGCTGCGTAAGACGATTCTGCAGCATTGGGCAGCTTTGGGCAGCTGGGTTTCGAAACTTTCAAAAAACGTTTACGAGCAATGATGCGCTAGCAGCGTGTTTTGGTACACGAGGACGACTACAGTCCCCTAGAACATTCAATGGCGCCAACAGTCCTGATGGTGAGTTGTCTCTCAATTGCACGTGGTGGTTATCTTTTGGTGTGGCCTCAGCGCTAGTACATCAACTTTTTTAGAATTGTAATATTCATGCAAACCTTCTGAGGAATGCCAAAAGCGCCAAACAGCAAAAAGTATCGTAAACAATGGTGCACTCTCAATGCTTAAGTAGTCCCGCTAACAAACGTTCGCCTCTGTCGAGCAATCATGGACCACTGTAAGATCAACAGTATCAAGTTCCTGGTCACACCTTATGCTGTCCAACATTGTCACACCAGCTTAAGCACGTCCTTGGTTAAATCAGATCTCAAAGTGGTGGTATGAGTCTGAAATCATCTTACTATGAGATTCCTTCTCTTTCTACATATATAAGTGGCTAAGCAGCCAAGCATGTCAACGTGGTGATATTATGAACCAGATTGAGGTCTGTTCTTTTTAAATTTCTGTTTCCTACCACATAGGTGGCTGAAAAGCCCAGCATCTCCAGCTCCATTGCTCAGCTGCTGTCAAATGGGAAGGTGAGCCCCCAAAAATCTCTGCAGATCATTTCCAGTACCACCAGCTTGTGCTTCCCTTCCGCCATCATGCCAGCCCCTCTCTTTTGGGGGGAACAAGTAGATGAAGCCTCAAACTTCGCCCCTTAAAATCTCCACCCACAACTGTGTTAGGCTTTGCGACAACCTGTCAATCAACTGGTATTATGCTGTTAACATGCGAAACACTGTTTCACCATCATGTATTTCCAGAAAGACTGTGGCCTCAGTGAGTCATGAAAGGGCACCCTGGTGGACTTTCCTTCTTCAGACGAGTGGCACAGATGCAATCACAGAAAAGTGATAGTTTGAAAGGTTCTAAAGGACCACTTAATGAAATTCACAGATTGTTCCTCGGATTCTCAGTTCGACGACACGATTATGACGTTCATGAAGCCCTTTTGATTATAGCACTTGATTGGGGAAGAGAAAGTTCTTCCACTGCCGGTCCCCCGTAGAGCAGTTTCAAGCTGGGCCTCCCTCATGCTGAAATGATCCATCTTGACTATCTCGAGGTTCAGTTAGGCCGTTAACCAACCTGGATAGTCAAAGGGCGTCTCATTATGCAGCATGGCTCTTAACCCGGACACAAACCCGGTTAGTTAAGAGCGGTTTCCCTGTGCCGTGCAGGCCATGTCCAGGCGGAGCTACTTGGAGGTGCACGAGTTTGGGGGGCAGTTCCAGGGGCGGCCCGCCAACTTCAAGATGACGTCAGTCATTGGTCACGTACTCAGGTGCGCGCGCCGTTGTTTGGTGGAAGCGTCTGACCAAAGTGGGAAAAAAAGAGAGAAGCACGTGAGGAAAGGGGAGGAAAGGGAAATATTGGTCCTGAGAAGTGGGTTTGAGAACGAAAGAGAAAGTAATCAGTCTTCAAGGACAATTAGAAACTAGTCGGATATGACATACAGAGCATAAGGTGAAGCAGCCTAAGGAGAGAACAGAACAAGAGAAAGATAAGGAGACGTGCAAAAATCCAATCCAGCTGAGACGAACGACGATCTGAGTAGAAGCATTTTTGCAGCTCAATTGAGTCGTATAGTGAGGTCGGGCCTTGAGCCTAACACTTACTAGAACTCACAAAGAAGCGACGAGTCAAATGAGCATTACGATGGAGGAAAGACAGACTTTTTGAAGTCTCGGAAGTGTTCAAGGATCTCCTCTCAAAGTCCTGAAAGATCTTAGAACCAGCAACAGAGGACACACATTTAGTTCTGTGACACCGTACTCTGAAACGTATCAGCCTAGCCCAGCCGGTATCGTACATTTATCCTGATTGCTCCAAACAAAATTTTCTGACAGTCAAAAACACAATTTCGTCTACTCCCTTGCAGCATCGACTTCCCGGCCAAGTACCAAAACTGGGACACAACCGACCCAGCGGAACTGTTCGACGCGCCCACTGTAAAGAACGAATCGAATCCCAAGGTGATCATCTTGCGCATGCATGGCAATCGGTGTCTGCACAGAATGGGAATTCTCTGCACAAGGTTGGCAAAATACAAATATGTTTTCGGACAGTTGGTCGCATCGGCTGTCAGTTTGATATGCAACGTCGACACGCTCTGGAAACTGTAGGCTGGCCTTTAAAACGTGTGCAGAAGGTGAATTTCGCGCAAATGCTTGCCTGCTCAAAAGACGCCTTGTATTACTTTCTAAAGTCAACCCTTATTCCCGCTGACTCTTGTCGTCAATATGTACGTCAACTTTAGTTCGAAAGCCGAACGATCCTATGAGGGGGCCGAAGTGTTCCTAGTGAATCGTTTTTCAAGCTCGTTTTTAACCCACTTCTAAACCGTCTATTTGCCAGGCCCACGTGTGCAAACACCTCCAACAGGAGGCACGGGGCTGCGACTACCTTGTTTTGTGGCTTGACTGCGATCGGGAAGGGGAGAACATCTGCTTCGAAGGTATTTTTTTTTGATCCACCTTGTCACCCGAAGGAGGGTTACCTTAACCCGCTATAGTATTAGTCGAGGTAACTTTCGAGATGGGTGGCGGATGAAGCCGGGTCAACTTCTATTCTCAAAGTCCTCTTTGAAAAGTTTCTACCACTGGGCCTCGCGTTTCCACCCAATTTTCGTCAGCTCAAATTCGAAGGTAGGATTGTCCGGGATATTGCTTCCTTTTTCATTGCAAGAGGCCGACTGGTATGCATGGAATCCTCCAAAACGTTCCTCGGCCTTTTGTAGAACCCGGTCCTCGTTTGCCCCCGCAGTCATGGACAATGTGGTCCCATTTCTCCGCAAAGCGCCCGGGCAGCAGGTCTACCGGGCGCGCTTCTCAGCTATTTCCGCTGGCGATGTGCGCTCGGCGATGGCGTCACTGGGCGTTCCGAACAAGAACGAGGCTCTCGCTGTCGACGCGAGACAGCAGATCGATCTGAAAGTGGGGGTGGCGTTCACGCGCTTCCAGACACGGTTCTTCCAGGGGAAGTACGGCAACCTGGATTCGTCAGTCATCTCGTGAGTGACTGCTCACCTATTCTTTCGGCCTTCTTCTTCCAGTCTGTGATCCGCCTCTGTTCATTTTCTTATTGGGTTCTGTCTTTCCATCCCCTCTTCCGTTCTGCGTGTCAAATTTTAGAGATGCATGTCAAAGGTTAGAGATGCGCTTCGTTTGGTCGAAGCCTATCTTTGCTTTCCGTCGACAGTGACTTCTCTCCCCAATTTTGTCCATGGTTTAACACCTCTCTGACCTGCCTAAACATGCTTGTTAGGGTTAAATTCCTCCCTTCCTCTGTCCAAGCGTGCGAGACGCTCTTCTCCTTTCAAAGGGCAATAATCGCGTTCAATTGAGTCATTCTGTCGCTTTTGCTGTGGTTGTCTTCATTATCTGTCGCCTCACACCTTCTCTCTTACACCACGTTCGACGAACACCGTCGTTTCGCCCTCATAGTCGGTGTATCCAGTTTAGATACCGCCCTGCCGGACCACAATGCTCGGCTCCCCTGACGTTCCCTTGACCATTATACCCAGAATGGATTTGCAAAATCTAGCTCTCTCTCCGCCTAACAAGTACAGCCGATTTCCACCTGCACAAACATAGCTTCCTTCTTTTTGACCCATATCCGGCTCTTCGCCAGACACCATCACTGATCATCAAACTGGGCCTCATTCCATCTCCCTCCCCCCTCAGGTACGGCCCGTGCCAGACCCCCACGCTGGGCTTCTGCGTCGAGCGCCACCAGCGCATTGCGACCTTCGTTCCCGAGAACTTTTGGTCGGTCCGCCCCACCGTGCAAAAGGGGGGGCGTCGTATTCCCCTGGAATGGGAGCGGGGCCGCGTGTTCGATAAGGAAATCGCCCAGGTGTTTCAGAGAATAGTCGCGGAGGGGGGTGCGGCGCAAGTGCTGGAATACGGCGCGAAAGAGGAGAGGAAAGGGCGGCCGGCGGGGCTGAATACGGTGGAGATGCTGAAGGTCGCGAGCAGTGGACTGAACATAGGGCCGCATCACGCGATGCAGGTGGGTAAGCTTATGCATTCTTGAATGAACTTTGAGAGATACTGTATCATTGTGCGAGATAATGAACGCGAGATACATTTTAACATTGTCAACGTCTACTTGACCTGTCGAAGCAGAAAAGCGCGCCTTTTGCGAACGTTTCTGGTACCTCATAGCAGGTTGCATTGCATCTGCCCGAGTGGTTGAGCCTTTGATGATCGATCATATCTCCCGTCGAAAGCAAAGCATGATAAGGCATAGTCAATCAAAGTTTGGAGCGGTAGAATTATCGTACGAGTTCCGAGAATAACGTGTCGAAGCCGTCGAACGTCCCGCTTTTTAAAATGTTGTAATTGACCAGAGGTCTGTGTCATTAACGAAAGTTTGATCTCACGAGGATAGGTCTCGACCATGCAGGATTTGCAAAGAGGGTTCCTTTGACGTCCGCTTCTTATTGTCATATCCTCTGCAAATCACGGACTGTGCTGCCACTTTCTGTCCGAGGCAAAAAAAGAACGGAGGTTTGCTGGCAAGGTCTTCCGAGGATGCGGTGTCGCTGCCCGCGATGCACTCACGAAAGACGTCGACCAGGCGGTCATTTGGACGGAGACAATTGATACTAGACTGTTCATCAGCGATGTTGCAAACCACTTCGAAACAGGGCGTTTGGATACAACGCTGATACACCTTGAGTCGTAAGGTCACTAAATCTGTGGAAGCACGTAGGGCAAAAAAAAGAAAAACTTTTGAATATCGGTGGCAGCCTGTTTTACGGTTGTTCCTTTCGTTGTTCCAGGAAACTGGCAGTATATAAGAAACAGCCTTCTCTTCAACGTGTTATTCACAACAGCTACGCCCCTCACACCCCCCCCCTCAATCGAATAAATCCCCTCTGTTTCGATTTCACGAAACCCCGTCTCCGCAGCTGGCCGAGCGCCCCTACAACAATTGGCGTACCCTTAACCACAGTCATACGCTCGCTCTCCAAGATTTTGAAAAGCATCAAAACTTCCTGCTTCTTTATTTCTCTTACCCCCCCGGTTCGCAGCTGGCTGAGCGCCTCTACATTTCGGGTTACATCAGTTACCCCCGAACCGAAAGCTCCGCCTACCCCGCCAGCTTCAACGTGCGGGAAACACTGGCGGAACACCGGTCGCACCCAGTCTGGGGGGATTACGTCACCTCCCTGCTGGCGATTGGCCCGTCGGCGCCTCGGGGGGGGACCGATGCGGGGGATCATCCGCCGATCACTCCGGTCCGGCAGGTGAGCGGTGGATGACGTCAGATGCCAGGTTACACGCCATGCTGATGACGTCATTAGATGGTGATGCTTAATGTTAGTGTGCAGTTGGCGTGGGGCGGTTTGATACGCTTGCTCGTTAGGTGGGGAAGGGCGTTCGTGACGTCACGAAGGTGTTGCTGACGTCGTGAAGCGCTGACGATAGAGATGAAGTTGCTCGCACTGGGGACATAGACCCAGTTGATCATCGTTTGACCCCACATTACAAAACGGATCTCCTTGGATACATTTTTTTGGCAGTGGCACTTCCACCGAAATTTTTCGCCTACCAATTGGGACGCCCTCCTAATGCCAGTCGCTTTTCAATCCAAATGTCAAATCTCTTGGCCTATCTTGTAGCGAAGTTTGTCCTCGCCTCATGGCATGCTCTTCTGGTTCCCCTTTCGAATTCCTTCTGTGCCAATCGCTCAGATGAGACTCTTTGCTCTTTCCAGGCAACAGAGTCCGAACTCGACACCGACTCGTGGCGCCTTTACGACTACATCGCCCGCCACTTCATCGGGAGCGTCTCCCCCGATTGCCGCTTCACCAAGACCCGGGCACTTTTCTCCATCGGAGGAGAGCGCTTCCACTGCTCCGGAAGGGCGACCGTGGCGCCCGGATTTACCGCCATCATGCCCTGGCTCGCAGTCCCGGACGAGGGCCTCCCGGTATTTGTGGTCGCCGAAAACGTGCCGGTGAGGAGGCTTGGGTCGTCTTTTGGGGTCGTTGGCTGAGTAACCTATGCGTCTCGCTCATTGTGCCGGATTTGTCAATGGTTGAAGTGGAGGACTGTTCCTTTGAGAGTTTGTAACCCACAGGGAAGGACGCTAGGCTGTTAAGTATGGCAGCGTCGCCTCGTTCGGAAGCATTTGTTTTCGGTAGGTACACTCTGCGGGTATCGAAGCTTCAGTTGGAAATATGGACCATGAGAAACGCTCAGTTCAAGTGAGAGGGGTCCACTACTTCTGGAAGCGAAGTATCATTCTCACATGATTTTCAAAACAAATGAGAATGGCTACAAAGCGGAAGACCTAGTCTCGAGAAACATCTGGTGTCAACTTTGTAATAGGCACTCGGCATTGACCATCACCAGGGGCAACCGGGTCCCATTCAGTATCGAACGGAAGCCGGACTTGACACCATAAGAGCAGAGAAGGCAATCCCCAAATAACATCCTCAATCTGTGGCAAAAGTTCTGCCAGGTTGGCGAACATGAGCTCCACCAGAGGCAAATGAGCCCCACCCGTTCCTCAAATCTGAAACCAGATTAGCACAACAGGCATATAGCAAAACAGAGTCCACATTTGTGTCACACCGCCACGTTGTTGAGATTGAGCTTCACCAAGGGCGGACGAACCCCTCGACTTTTTGGCAGAAAGCAGACCTGACACCAAAAGAGCCACGTAGGCAAAGCCAATATAGATCCTCACTTTGTCAAACATTCTGCCAGGTTGTGGAAGTCGAGCTCCACCAGGGGCGGACGAGCCCCACCCACTTTTGTGGGGAAGCTGACACCAAAGAAGCAGATCAGGCAAAAAGCAGAGTAGATCCTCACTTTGTGTCACATGTTTTGCCAGGTTGTGGAAGTTGAGCTCCACCAAGGGCGGACGAGCCCCCCCGACTATCTGACGGAGTCGGAGCTGATCGGGCTGATGGAGAAGCACGGCATCGGGACGGATGCGTCGATCCCGGTGCATATCAACAACATCTGCGAGCGCAACTACGCGCAGGTAAGGGGACTCCGATATAATCGATCCGTTCCAAACGACAAGCCGCCGAGAGATATCAATCGAAGCTCTGATCCCTGCGAGATTGCACCAAGGTCATGGGGTCTCCAAAAACAAGTTTTTTGAGGATCGGATTGCAAAATACAGGGTTTTTGGTTACTACCTCACGTTAGGCGGAAGGTTAGGATCGAGGCTCCAGGTTTGGCATCGCTCGAGGCTTTCAAGGGGCAGCGGCCAGACTTGGATTGTAGATAGAGGAGTTTCAAACAGCTGAAATGTGTTGAAAATGAATTGGTGGGCCTCTAATTAGTTCTAAAAATAAGGCTGCAAGCCTCGATTTGGTCGGCAGAGAGCGCTCAGTTTTTAGCGATCTGACAGCTGTGCATATCCGAGCACTCGTTGCTGACTGGCGTTCATTTGCACCGGTCCAAAGACGAAACCCGCAGACCCTTGCATGCCAACCCCGCTCTTACCAGGCCCGATCCAGGCGGCATGAGATTCCAGCCGCGTTTGGGTTCATTTCCCTTGCGGCTATTGGATCGTCATTCCGAACATCCGCATACTAGCCGTTCGCATGGACCATTTCAGATTTGAAGAAAGAACACGCGACTTTTTCTGGTTCCCAAACCCTTCGCAGGTTTAGTTGAGCCGGCGCGTTGCTCGGACCGCGCTTACCATCACGCGCTTCCGCAACAACAGCACAACGGCCCTTTACCTAGTGTTATTGACACCCTTTCGAAAACGCAGAAGTTCAGAGAAAATCCTTAGAGTTCGTAAATAATCGGCTAATTGGGCTCGGCGTCCACCCTCGCCCACGGATGCAATATCGTCGAGCTTGTGCTTACCAGCCATATCATTGCATCTTTTCGAATGCTCAAAACAGGAAACCGTGCAACCTGGAAGCCCAAACTTTGAAACCTTGAAGTTCTAGTACTCCAAAATTGAGGTTTGGCGCAAATCCAGTGGGCTTGTTGGACGGTTCACTGGACCATCAGACTCTCAGTAACATGATACTACCAGTTTAATACTCGGCTTTCCAATCCTCTGCAGGTTCAGGCCGGCCGGCGCGTTGTGCCTACCGCTCTGGGCATCACTCTCGTCCGCGGCTACAGCAGCATCGACCCGGACCTGTGCTTGCCGGACGTCCGGTCGCACATCGAAAAGCAGATCACGCTGATCGGGCAGGGGAAGGCCGAGTACGCGCACGTTGTGCGCAGCTCGCTGCGGGACTTCGCCGCCAAATTTGCGTACTTCGTTAGCCAGGTGCGTTCTGGTTGGTTTCTGGGTTGTACTCTTTAGGTTTGAACAGAGTCAAGTGTTTGGGTGTCAGACCTGGCCAGACCTGTGGTCGCAACCCGAGCAGCAGAAGGCGGTGAAAGACCGAGTATACGCAGATCGTGCGCAGCTTCCTACAAGATCTCGCCGCCAAGTTCGCAGTCTTCGTCAGCCAGGTGCGATCTAGGTTTCTGGAATCTGATTGAGCGCAGAATGAGGGTTGTTGGTTCTTGGGGCTTTCTTGTGAGCTTCTGTGCTTCGTTCCAATGGCGCGCATGCCCGTCCATTTTCGTATTCCCCTTCAAGAAACTCACGCTTTGATTTGTCTGCTTCCTTTTCTCAAGTTAGCATCTTCTCTCATTCCTTGCCTGCTGTTTTCGTCTCGGGTCAACTTGTTCCATATTCCGTGCCTTAACATACTCGAGCCTCTCCGGAGCAAGTCCACGTGTTACCACATGGAGTAAGGGGCAGTCCTTTGCTCTTCCCCACCTCGTCAAGGAAGTTCTGATCCTTCGTCTCGGAACGAACGGCTCAGTGTTTTGTTTAAATGGGCTATTCAAATTCCCTTTTCTTGTTCTCCCCCAAATCGAGCGCATGGACGCTCTATTCGGGGCGCAGTCCTCTGCTCTACTCCTCCCTCTATCTGTGGCCTTCATTTAACCCTTTTGTATGTCGACTTATCTGCGCTGTCCTCAAATATTGTTTACCTGTCGCCCTACCAGATCGAACGAACGAAGAACGTCCTCGAGGCGCAGGTTTTCTCTCTGTTCCACCTCGGCAAGTACTTTTCGGCTCATGACTCTGTAGTTTCATTCTTCCGTATTTTCAAAACCCCCTTTTCCTTTTGCCCCCAGATCGAGCGCATGGACACGCTCTTCGAGGCGCAGTATTCCGCTTTCCCTCCGTCTAGCTAACCTGTATTTCCGTTCATGTGGGCTGCTGTCAAATCCCCTTATTTCCTTTCCTTCCCAGATCGAGCGCATGGACACCCTCTTCGAAGCGCCATTCTCTACCTCGTCAAAAGATTGAGCGCTCTTTCAAAGAAATTGTTTTGAAAGTCCATTTTTCTGGCCTTATTTTGAATGCCCTTTTCCTGTCTCCCCACGCAGATCGAGCGCATGGACACTCTCTTCGAGGCGCAGTTCTCGCCGCTGGCCGCCACCGGCAAGCCCCTCTCCAAGTGCGGCAAGTGCACGCGCTACATGAAGTACATCCCGATGCGCCCCGCGCGTCTCTACTGCTCCTCCTGCGAGGAAGTCTACAACGTCCCGCAAAACGGCGCGGTCAAGCTGTACAAAGAACTGCGCTGCCCGCTGGACAACTTCGAGCTCGTGCTCTTTTCTTTGTCGGGCCCAGGTAAGCTCCTCGCGGAATTCGCTTCTGAATTTAAGTCAGCGCGATTCAGCGCGACTCAGCTGTAGAGATTGTCATTCGTCAAAAGGGCAGCTCGGCAGCTCGTACTGTACAAAGAACTGCGCTGCCCGCTGGACAACTTCGAGCTCGTGCTCTTCTCCTTGTCCGGTCCTGGTAAGTTGCGCCGTCTGGTGCGTGCTTTTCTTTTGGTTAATCCCCCCTCTGATCCTCTTTCTTTTCTTATTTTGTCTTTTCAAGCTATATAGTTTCTCAAAACCGTCGTAAGCTCGTCAACAAAGCAATGCAAGGAACTGCGCTGCCCGTTGGACGAGTTCAAGCCCGCGCTGTTCTCCTTATCTGGGCCAGGTGAGCCGGGCCGTCAAGTCTTGGGACGTTTCTTTTCCATGTTATGTCTTTTCTTGTCGCCCCCTTCCTTTCTTCCATGGGTCAAGGTTTGGCTAGGTATACAGACAGGCGTGTCGCTCGTCAAGCCGACCAAGATTACCGACTGGAGGATCTGGGTCCTAATATCGTCGTGCTGTTGGGTCCAGTTGACCCACTGCCTGTGGAAAGCTGGTCCTAATGTTTCACTGCGTTTCTCGAGTCAGACCAAGCTGATATAATCTGCGCTCAACGTCCGGGCAAGGAACACAGGGAAGTGCACTGCCCGCTCGACGTCTCCGAGGCGCTTGCTGTTCCTGTTTCGGACCCAAAAATGCTTGAAAAGCGTGTAGAGCCGATTCTGTGAGGAGAGCCACCCTCACAGGGATGCTACCGGTGAGTTCTCCGCATGGGTATAAACTACACCCTCTCCGTCTTCGAACAGATTGTCTGAGAGGCAAAGTTTCGGTTGACCACTCTTCAGCTTTTCTTATTACACTCCGTGCGCAGATCTTCCGGTCGTATCCAGCCAATTCAGAAGCATATCTGTGTCTAAGCTCATTGGCGCCCCAAGACTCTATTAAAACGGAGAGTTGCACCATCTCGTATTTGGCAGTCTAAGCCCTTTGATACCGTTCTCCTCTATCCAGATGGCAAGTCCTACCCCCTTTGTCCGTACTGCTACAACAACCCGCCGTTCGAAACCGCGGGGCTGCTCTACGGGGGCGTCGGCGCAGGCGGTAAAACCGCGAAAGGGGGGATGCCGTGCACGCTTTGCCCCCACCCTAGTTGCCCCCACTCAATGGTCCAAAGAGGTGTCTGCGCTTGTCCCGAGTGCGAGGGAACCCTGGTTTTGGACCCGGTTAGCGCGCCCAAATGGCGGTTAGACTGTAACCGATGTTCCTGCTTAGTGTATCTACCCAAAAACGCGCACAAGGTCGGTGTGAACGCGGCCCAGCGGTGCGAGGAGTGTGAATCGGCTCTGCTCGAGGTGGACTTCAACAAGAACGACACGCCGCTTGCGGGGGGGGCGACGAAGCACATGGGGTGCCTGTTATGCGATGAGCTGTTGCTAGGGTTAGTCGAGATGAAGCACGGGAAGGCGTTTGCGCGGCGGCCGGGGGGGAGGGGCCGGGGGCGAGGGAGAAGGGGGCGGGGGCGGGGAAGGGGGAGGGGACGGGGGGAGGATCCCAGGATGAGCTTTCGGGACTTCTGAAAAAGACGAAATATCATCTGGGGATATCATTTCATATCATATGACGAATGCGCACCCGAGCATTATAGCACATCAGACCACTAGCTGCTAAAGTGAGATGATGATTGTGTGCGCCGAGCAGGGAGACCACGTGGACGGTCAGCGGGGCTAGGTCACGTAGACGGTTATGGACGTAAACGAAACGTTCTTTCTGCCCGCTGGTGGCGTGTTTCACACGAAGGAGATCAAGCAATTAGTTGACTACTGTACATGAACGCTCTCTGACATTCAGTATATGGTGTAGTAGTATAGGGGCCAGTGATCGTACACCAAGCTCTGGCAGCGGATCGATGCTAGGTTCATGTCACCTTACTGCATTTTAAATTCATCCACAGGCATGCAATATTGCACCTGAGAGTTTTGTCAGACTGCGCGGTCTTGACTCATGCATGGCCTTTGATCGCGCGTCAGCCATGCATGCAAACCTTGAAAGGGCCCGGTTTTCTTGTCCTCAGTACATTGGATTTGGTGCGTGCGGCCAGGACCTGTGCACGCAAATGATCCTATAGCGCTGCATGTGTTTGAAGGGCACGATGTCGCGATTGGACAGCATGCAATTATCGTTGATCAAAAGCTTTCGAAGCTGGCTCCAAGCTTCTCTTTTGATCTAAGAATACAGTGTCGGCCGCTTCAAAATGCCGCTGGTGAATCCTCTACCTTGCTTGCCCCTGGTTCGTCGTTTGCGCTCCTCAAACTGAGTATACTGGACTGTTGATTCGTTTCCAGGCCCAAGCCCGCCCAGGCCCAAGAGTTCTGTTACAACTCTGTTCGTTCATCACCCTTGAGAAGAGTCGAAGCCGACAGGACTCAACACCGAGGCTGACTCAGCTTCCCGAAACTTTGATCCAACCTCGTGTCTCCCGTATAAGGCATAATGGCACTGATGCACCGCTCAAAGCTGAGCCGCATGCTCTGTTACAAAAGCATTGCAGACGGGCAAAGCGTGCTTTCGCCCCTTGCCAGATGTTGAGCATTTTAATCACAAGCTCGTTGGAACAGCAGAGTTAATTTTGCGCTAGGATAATCCTTTTGAGCTTTTGGTGCCGGCGGAGATCGAGATCGCTGCAAGCAACTCGGCTTCATCTCGGAGCAGCAAAAGATGGCGCAGGGGGGCTCCAGATCAGCTTTCGACCTTCAAGTTCTTCCCGCAGAGGTTCTGGACGTGATCGTGGAGAAAGTGCGGAGGGGTTGCAGGGAGAGCTTCCAAGCACTTGGCAATTCAAGCAGAGAGTTTCGTGACTCTGCCAGGAGATGCACCAGGAGTCTAATTGTGACACCATCAAAGGAAATTGAAAAGCAGATTGCGAAAGAAGCATACCAGAAGAATACCAGCCATTCAATGTATGGCAACGAACTACTTTCGAAGGAGATCCAGAAGCGGCCTGGCCTCTCTGAGCTGGTGATGAGAGAGCCTGGGTTTCTGAACCGGCGTGGCACTTTTTCCAAACTTAGAGTTGCTGAGAAGAGTCCCTTGGATCAGTTGCACATTAGTCGGTCATGCCTGCGCATCCGGGTCCGTCCAGCTCGCCGCATGGGATGGCTCCTTCTGCAAGCGCGTGCTCTCTGGATCCAAAGCGAGCCTCGAGAAGCTCAGGATATTGAGCTTTGATTTCCAAGGGAAGGCGCTCCTTAAACTTCGTCAGCTATATCCTGGTCTCGCCGCCTTGGAACTCGAAGGCAGAGTCTGGGAACCCTGCAGATTACCCGAGCACGACAATCTGTTGGAGCTCGATGTTTCCAGGTTCAGACGCTTCAAGAAGCCACCACCACAGAATTGGCGTATGTCATGTGGAGGTGGAACGCCCCGATCAATTTCGTCTGCGGCGGCCGAGCGAAGCTGCCGTTCTCCAAGGCACCTGGCCACATTCACCACCTGACCGTGGCGGCCTTTTGCAGAGAGGAACAGAGCAGCAAAATCCGTATCTTGAATCCCCTTGAAGGTCTTTCTCCTCTGCCTCGCAGTTAAGAGGTCCTAGCTAGGACCTCTAACTATAGAAATGTACTTGCAAATATGCTATCAGAGCACGAGCCGTCCATGGTGTTCGATACTGGCTGCGTCAGCGTGTCCGCTGCTTCGAAGGATCCACGTTCGCGCCACTTCAAGCTCAGTGCAGAAGCAGTTCTGTTACAGGAAAACTTTCCTTGGTGGTATGGTCCTAAAGTCGAGCGGGTCTTCACAGCGTGCCCTCAGCTGAATGAGGTGTGCTTTAGCGGCTTCGACGGGGAGGGACTATCTAGGTGGGAGAGATCACTGCAAGGAGTGAGGGTCGTCAATTAGCTGCCAAATGTGCCTATAGAAGCAGAACGTCACTACGGTCTAATTTTCAGAGGAAAGGAAGTCCTCAGGCTAGGGTGGGGTCAGCAGAATTTCAAGCAATCACCCAGTCCTACAAACTCAGAACTTTGCAGATTCTTGACGGATGAGATGGCGGTGGGTTTACTTTACCTCTGATCTGCTAGTTTCCTAGATCCAACACCTCATTGGTTCACCGTCCTGTAATTAGCTATATGTAAACAGAGGAGAAGAAATTGGGGACTGCATTTGTAGGACAACTGTACATGAATTGTCGGTGATATCAAACTCTTAAGAGTGTCGTTGGAGAGAAGTCGCGAAGAACAAAGAGCTTGGACTATTCAGCTTAAAATTTGACGTCTATGATGAAATGGTTTTGCTCTTGGCCCCTCCGCCATTGCATATGAACTGGTGATTACCCGTGTTGCTTTTGGTAACATTTGAAGATTCTGGGCTGCCGTTGACATCCATGCGAGCGCCCACGATTCAATGTCAGTGCTATGTACAGCTTCTTACAAGAGCTTGGTATGTGATCTATGTTGGCAGTCGACCGCAAAGAAACCCGGCCAAAGCAAACTAGTCCTCTCTTCATCTTGTCGCTGCCATTGCAAGAACGCTCATCGTTGCCAGGAGGAGTCTTGTACTTCATGACAATAGATTTGAGCGCCATGGATACTGGCCGCCGCTTATCTAGGTATACTGGGACTACACTTTTGGCAGGCATCCCATCCTTATCAGGGTTTTACCGTCGCACTTGCTCTACATGAGTGGAATTCCAATCACACAATCCACTTTCAGGCACTTATCACGCGATTCAAATACGCGTGCCGAAATCTAGGCCATGGGGGTCATCCTTTATCCCTCCTTCGTCACAATTCTATACAAAGCGTCGAGACTCTCGCGCATCTGGCTGCTACACCCACTTTTCCAAAGTCCTTGGATGGAGCAAAGCCGTCGCTAATTTGTGAGTCTTCAATTGAAAGGATTGTCGCATGATTTAGTGTACGTATGCTCACACAGTCCCTGCAACTTGCATATGGACACACTTGAAAGTCACTGCATGCATGAGGCGCAGTACTTTGACACCAAATTCGGGGCAAGTGTCAATAAAAGGACTGTCGGACCACATTGGCGCCGGCATGACGCGATTCTGGTACATATCTCAATCTCAATATTCCAGTCAAGCAGTTACATGAATGTTGATTCCATGGCAGCCTGAGAGGTCGGCACATCCCGGATGCCTGGCGTAGCATTCGCGTCATTACTGACAAAAACTCAACCAAAGCATAATACAACACTGGACATTGGCCCCAGTCGAGTCGATTATCAGGACGCTGGCTAGCTCTCGCCGGGTTTTAAAGTGTTATAGCTGCATACAGCGATGGACAGCCTTATGTTCGGTGGCAGCATTACACGCATATAATTGAAAAGACAGCTTCCGACAGCTGCCACGATAATTTTGTGAAGCAACATTCGACTCACAGATCAACGATACAAATTGTTGACTTGTAAAAATAGCTCATGGCGGTCTTACGATTGTCAGTTCGGTACTATGCTAAGCTTCAACCTATCCCTACGCGATTTGACCACCCGTTTTGGGCGTCTGAGAACTACAAGCAACCTATCCCTATGCAATAGGACGACACCTGAGTGGTGACCTCCTTCAACTATCACAAACATTTCTGCAAACAAGTAGAAGCTGGATTTGGGGCTGGCAAACCCATTTCTTTTGTGTCTTCTAATAATTTTTGGCAAACAATCACTATCAACCCTACATCAATCATAGTTTATGACCTGCTCTCTAGTAGTACGCATCGTCATCGCTCCCAGACAGGCTAGCGGTCTCATCACTCTCCTCCTTGGCCGCCTCCCCCTCACTCTGAAACTCCCCGCCATCCGAGCCCGTGTCGCTCGAGTCCATCGCCGCATCACCAAAGTGCGAGTCGGAGTCACTGCCCGGCTCCTCCTCCCCAAACGGCAGGCGGTCGCCCTCGGACCACAGGTAGTGCGTCTTGATGTCCGAAGTCGCGAACCCGTTGAAGCTCGTGCCCGCCGCGAGGGTATACGCCCCCATGTTGGGGAACAGCAGCCAGTCGCCGACCTCCAGCTTCGGCAGCCACACGTCGGTCAGGACCTGGTCCAGCCCGTCGCACGTCGGCCCGAAGACCGTCGAACGGTACATCTTCTCATCGAGCAGGCGCAGGCCGCCGGACACGCGCAGTGGGCGAGCGGAGATGGTAGCGTGGTCGTAGAGGAGGCAGTTCATGGACCCGTACACGCCGTCGTTGATGTAGTACTCGTTGGCCTTGGTGTGCGCGTGGCGCAGCCCACGCAGGCGGCGCCCAAAGACGAGCGCGGCCAGCGTAGCAGGCGCCTCGGCGAAGTAGCGCCCAGGCTCGGCGATGACCTGCAGAGCGGAGGGGCAAGGATACAGGTCAGAAGTTGGTTCCGGAGGTAGAAAGCACAGATTAGTCGACGATTCATCATTGTCCGGTAAGATGGAGTAAAATGGAGCACACTGCACATCTGAAATACTGCGAACGGCTTCTAATCTGCAGCGTCCAGTTTCCATAAGCCCTCAGGACTTCAACTTGAAAGTCTCTCAACAGCAGCGAAGAACGGAATGCTTCCAGGCGGCACTTCGCAGTCCTCACCTTGACCCCCTCCTCCTCGGGGAAGAACTTCTCCAGCGCCTTGTTGATCGCAGCCCCCGCCGCCGAGAACGTCAGCTTCCCGCCAACCGAGAGCCCGCCTCCAATGTCCAGCACCTTCATCTTGGGCATACCCAGCCCCTCCGCCATCTCAAACACCAACTTCGCCGCCTTGATCGCCTCCACGAACGACTGCGCGCTCGCAGCGCCGCTGCCCACGTGGAACGACACCCCGACGCAGCTCAGCCCCAGGCGCTTCGCAACCCTCAGCAGCGGCTCGCACTCGTCGAACTCGGCGCCGTACTTGGACCCGAGGGGGCACTGCGCGCCAACGTCGTCCGCGCGGATGCGCAGCAGAAGCTCCGCGCCCGGGTGCACCTTCTTGATCTTGTAGAGCTCGTCCTCGGCGTCGAAGACGGTGAGCTTGACGCCGGTAGAGACAGCGTGGCGCAGGTGCGACTCCAGCTTGCACGGGTTGGCGTAGATGATGCGCTCAGGCCCGACGCCGGCGGCGGCAACGGCCTGCATCTCGGCGAGCGAGGCGCAGTCGAAGTTGGCGCCGAGGGCGGCGAGGACGGCCAGCAGGGCGGGGTCGCCGTTGCACTTGACAGCTGCAGGAAAAGGGTGGCACTTGATGAGAATTCTTGGATGCAGCTGAGAACCATGTAAGCACAGTGCTTAAAGGAGGTGACATTCGTTGACAGCTAGGGAGCAGGAGAAAGCGACTGACAGCACGAAGGACGGGCGTTAAGGATACTGGAACCACTTGCAAAGTTGATTACTATTGTAGAATAGTTGAAAATTTCGTGACTTGCGCAGCCTGTTCAAAAAAGAAAACCTTTGATTCAAAGCCTGACAGAAGGGTAGCACAGACCAGCAAGTGCGGCATCCGTCCCTCCTAGCAACACCCAGCTCCTCTTAAGAGATGAGGCAACACCAGAAAAGACAACAAATCAACAACAGTCCTCACCATAGAAGGGCTCCACGCGAGGCATGGTGGTCGTCCATGCGTCGTACAGGCGCGCCACCATTCCCAGGTCGAACATCATGAAGGGCGCCTCCTGGCCGTTCTGCTTGATGAAGTTCTGCGCGTACTTGTCCACGTCCCTGGGACTTCCCACTGATGCCAGGGTAGGCTTGAAGGACGCGACGGCAGTAGCCACCTCGTCACCCAAGGGGGCCAGGGCCTCCCACAAATCGCCAGACCCGCCGTGCAGCTTCTGTAGCCGAAAAAGGACGAGTGTGAGGTACAGTCTTCAACTCATAGGATCCCACAGAAGGGCTGTATAAACAAGAGCTGCATGTTTCAGCAAGTGGGAACAAGCACCGCCTTGCCAGCTGGACAAACATAGCAACGATGACCAAGCATAGCAGACATCAGGAAGCTGGTAGTAAGCGGGAGCAGGTGAAAGAATCCTTGAGAAGATAGATGAGTAAGGAGGGCAGAAGAGTATGTAGCAGCACCTCACAAATTTGGCCCAGCGCTGATTGCGAATGTTACTACATGCAACCTGAAAATCTTCAACATGCAACCAGATCAATCGATCTGGCACAGGAAAAGGACCACAGTCTCACCTGCAGCTTCTCCTTGGCGAAGGCAGCCCTCTTCTTGGCAGCCAGCGCGTACAGCTTCTCCACCTCGCGGTCAGCAAACAGCGGCTCAGGGACGCACACCTCCACCTCAGCTGGTGCACTGCCGACGGCCTTGAAAGTGTGGAACACCAGGGCCGCTCCAAAGGCCATCTCCTGGCGGATGGTGCCGTCGCAGACGTAACCAGCGAAGGCCGGGGATACGCCCCAGGCACCCGCCCCGGCTGCACCGACCTTGCCGTCAGCAGAGAGCGCAAGCGAGAAGCGCCCCGGGTTGAACACCCCGAGCACCTTCTGGACCATCTCGTGGGGGGACTGCTCCTGGGGGGCGTACCCGCTCGCCTCAAAGCTGGCATAGGAGAAGGCGTCCTCGGGCGTGATGTGAATCGTGCTGAATGCCCGGTTCTCGATGCCGTTCATGGAGTAGCCGCAGGGCTCAAAGTCAAAGGCGTCAATCTCGGACCCGGGGAGAATGGTGTCGATCCCAGAGGCGACGGTCATGGCCTTGGCGTCGGCGAAGCCGGCGGCCTTGAAGAACTGAGCAGCCTTGGTGCTGTCCAGCTTCTGCATGCACATCTCCAGGGTGAAGGTCGGCTCGGCGCCGGCCTGGTTTCCCGAGGAGGCGGCCTCGTAGACATGCCAGTTGGGAAACTGGTCCGGTGCGCCGAGGACGTAGGCCTTGCCGCCGGCCCCCAGGTGGCCAAAGTGCTGCTCCAGGAACTCAATCTCCTGAGCGAAGCTGCCGTGGGGGTAGGGCTGCAAGACAAGGAACCGCCGCAGTCAACATCTATGAATCAACACGTTGCTTTCTGACTGACACAGCATCTCCACTTTCTCACCGAACAAGGGCTTTCAGGGGAAAGGGCTTGAAAAACAGAGGAGAGGAAACAAGTAGGGATGGCTACTTGAGAAGTAGGTCTACAACCGAGTTTTTAACAACTGAAAGACCACTGAAAACAAGATAGAAAAGTCCGCAACCAATACAACCAAGAGAAGTATGCCGGGAGGACATGTGCTCACAAAATGCAGCTCTGTTCCAATATCTTCACCAGCAGCATGAAACCAGACATATCCAGCATAACAATCCCAGAAGCAAACAGCAACCTGTCACCAAAAAATAATGAGGGTGGCATGATAAACTGCATACACCAAACCTGCAAAGAGGAAGGGTCTTCCTGTTCGGAGAGTGGTGCAGAATGATAACATACACCGTTGCTCTATTACAAGAACTGCACCAAATCCTTACCTGAACTGCAGGGAAGTTGAAGGTCCCCCGGGTGTACTTGACGCGATGTTCCTTCAGGTCAAGCTCAGCAGCATGCTTGAGGAGGGTGGGAACGGCCTGCAGGAGGAACAGAGGGCGAGCTATGAGATACCAGATACGTGACAGAAGCAGCAAAAACCCAGTGTGCTTGAACAAAGCGGGGGTAGCATAGTCCTCACCATGCAAAGATCTCCACCAAATGCAGGCAAACCACTACCACTGGCAACACTCAACTCAATGTGCAAGCAAACAGAACATACATGGAGATGCAGACAATGCAGAGACGCAAGCTTTTCAAGAAAACAACTCACCTTGAGCAGAGCAGTCGTGCCGCAGGTCTTAATGACCAGCTTGAAGGGGTGGATGAAGAGGCTGGACTCTGAGAGCACGTACGAGTCAAACAGCTCGTTGCTGAGCTGAGACACGATAGTGCACTCAGCCAAAGTGAGGAGCTCGTCAATCTTGGCGCGGGGCATGTTGCGCAGACCGCGAGGAGAGCATGCTGCACTGGCAGGAGAAAACTCCACTTCCAGGCGCTTCTCGAAACCCTCAAACCCAGGGGCAGGGAGCATCATTGCGTCGGCACCCATTGTATGAGTGCGTGTACCTTTGACTATCTAGACGTGCGGCGCAGCGTGCTCTTTCCTAGGCAGGAGGGGTCGTCTGGACCTGTCTTATACTACTCGACAGCCCGGGCGTTTGCCAGTCTGCAATCCAGCTCCTTATCTAAAAGCTCCAGGAGGACTATCAGGAGGGTGCCTTCAAGCACTGCAGCAAAAGGGGTAACGGTCAGCAGCACTCGCAAATGGTGGGTTTGTAAGGTAAGAGTCCTTTCTAGATCAGAAACAATCCACCTGCGTGCATGAAGTGTGCAGAGAGGGTACAGCCAAATGCGATATGCGAAGACGACAACCAAACAAACAGCATCTTTAGGTTTGCAATGAAACACCTAGCGCATGAACCATCTGCTAATCATTTGACACGCTGCTCTCTGTGTTGAATGACTTACGTTGCTATAAGCAGGAGAGCGGAACTTCACGACTCCTCCGTCGGGCCTGATATCCTCCAACACGTAACCAAGAGCGGGCTCGTACTGTGAATTACTTGAACTACTATTGTCCTTGCTCTCCATGATTTTTACCTGCCACGGCAAATCGAGAACCAACATCAGCAGATGTGATAAAAATGGAACAAAGAAGTCATATTGAAGCCACACAACCTTTAACAACAACCGTCAACTGGTGTATGCCTTTCCCACCTGTCTTGTGTCACACCTCAAGAGTTTCACCTAAGCCTTCACTAGATCCGACAAAGACAATATGCCACAGCCCCTGGAACAGCAGAAGTCCTCCACAAAACTTAGCGTGTGCTCAAGATGAGCTGAACCAACAAAAGCACTGGCACCATAATTGACCAATAATCCAAATTAATCCAGATTTTTCCTCGAAGGCTTTAAGTTGGAGCATACTTGACCGCACCGCGGAAACAACTCCAACCATGCTGCAACCCTTGACAAGGTCCGACCGACAAAGATGGTGTGCATGGTCATCTGTATACCCTCAAACCCTTCCCGAGATGCTTGAATCTTGTCCCCGATTTGGATCCAGGTTTGCAAGAAAGCAGCTACAAACGCTCTCCACTGCTGGCTAATGTAAAGACTCTACTCCCAACCCTCAACAAGCTGACATAAACAAAGATCGGAGCATGCAAGACAACCTCCATCCATGCATTTTCAACCCAGCCCCCAAGCAAGCATCTCAGAAGCACGGCATACAAAGAGCAAGCATCTGCAACTCACCAAGTTTGTAAGTTTTTTAGGGTTGAAGGGCTAAACGACGCCAGAATTCTCGCTGGCAAGGTCTTGGTCAGGCCCGCTTCTTAGCAACTCAAAAAGATGACTGTATCTCGATTGATTCACTTCCTAAAAGCTCCTTCCACGGATGGCAGAGGGTTTCAGAACGATTCAGCTTGCTGTTTGCTGATTGATGGTTGCAGGTTGCGGGCTTCGAGCGCCAGGAAGCAAGATTGCCGAAGATGACTGCAGAAGAATGCTGAGAAGTAGTCCTTGTCGAAATGATGTTCTTGAGATTCATCAAGTTCGAACTTGTGGCCCTCTCGTCTCGATACAAGACACGCAACTCGTGCACCTGCAAACAGAAGTGAGAATGCCCCGTAGGCAGTCTGACGTTGTTTACATCCACTCCCATAGTTCAGCTAGAACCGCTTGTTCACATGCATTCCCGCAGGCAAGACACGTGTGGTCAACCGGTACATACCCACCTACCTAGGTGTTCGCGACTAGGTTTTCCGGTACCGTTCGCATAGGGACATATGTTTGCCATAAGCAAACACTTAGACGTACCGACTGATCACACCGGGCATCCGAAGTGCCCTGTTTCTGCGTTCTAATTTGTCAACATTGGAGGCCCGGATGGTTATCTCCGAGCGGTCTGCAATCCAATAACGGGACTACGCTAGCAATAGCTAGTTCATAATACATACCGTATACCTACCACGTCCATTTGTCAGAATTCAATCATCCACCACAAGTTCCCATCCTTGATTGGCAGCTGGCAGTCGGCCACGCTGGCTGCATATGGCTATGCGCGCGCATCTGTCCACTCTGGACCGTCCGATGCTCCCGTATGCTTGGGGAGGTTTCTTCTGTACAAGAAAAGTAAAAGCCGTCCGATGTTCGACATTCCCACCGCCTGACTCGTCGATCGACGGCACCTGGGGCTCAAGATTTGCCCGTTGCATCTGGCCCACGTGGACGTTCGAAGCTTCTCCCCACGCTAGTCTCCTCGGTCGCTGTCTACGGTACCAATTTCGCAGCCATGAAGATCCAACCTTGGAATTTTCAAAGTTCAGAGCTCAGCGTTTTGCCTGATTCAGTGATTGACATGATGAGCGACAGCCTAGCTGCTGTGCTTTACAAGGTCCCTAGGGAGCAGGGGGCAAGGTCGTCGCTTTCAATCGCACGAGGAAGCTGGTATAGGTAGCTCGTAGGAGCGGCTCTAGGGCGGCTGCGAGCCAGCTTTGGGCAAGAGCTTCAAGTCGACTGCAGAGGTTGTTTGTTGGACCGACATTTGTGGGGTCCTCGACAGGGGAGTCCTCGCCATTGAAAGAACCGCTGACGAAGCCAGATAAACCCTGGGGATGGTCGAGTAGGATAGTGCAGAACAACTCCAAGGGCGTTTTGCCTTTAGCTTAGCAGTCTCCTATTTTGTTGTCTTTCAAGTCCCAAGTCTCCCCTTTAGCATTCTCCTATCTCGGAGCTTTTTATCTCTAAGAGAAGTCTAGGAGGCGAGCCACTGAGGACAGGAAGCGGTTCCATGGGGCTGCAGCAGGTGCCGCTTTGGGTGACGCTGCTCCTCACAACCCTCCTGCTAGTTGCACAGGGGCACGCCCTTCCCCGGGAGCTGCGGGCCCCTGATGGACGAAAGTTGCAGCAGACAGGCATAGGGCTTGTCTGGCTGGGCACAGCGCCCTTTTGCATCCCCTTCTCGGAAGTGATGCAGGCGTGTGCGCAGCAGGGGCTCACGTTCGTTAGGGCAGACCCCCGGGGTGACGGTGCGATTTGTGTGACAGGTGCGCCGTGTGGACAATTGCGTGTGTTTGCACCAGCGTTGGCTCAAGACTTTCACTGCTTCCGCACTGAGATCTGTGGATAACATTTCCAAGAAAGTGCTTTTAGGGTACTGCTCCTGGTGTCCTACTTTCTCTAGCTTTGGTTGATATGTGTGTTTGGGGCACTCCTGATTTACTACATCTTAGTGGCAGCTCTGGAGTGTTTAGGTTTTGACCAAGTCTACTTTCATTGGCTGTTGCTCACCACTGAGAGTCCGCAAACAGTGTTTCAAAATCCATCTTTCCGGTTTACTTAGTGGCGGTCGTTGTATGTACCGTTCCAACAGCTTTGGTGGTGAAAGCAGAGAGAATTTGTGTGATCACAAACAAACCCTCAAAACAGCACTCCTCTGAAGTTTCCCCCTTTCTGCACTTGCCCTTTTTCAGACGGGGCACCTCTACTTGAGTTTTGGCAAAACTCTTTTGTGTGCTCCTAAGGGCCACCACTAGGATCCAGAAACTCTTGTTGATGCACTGTACTTTGCAGCGTCTGACTTCGACATTTCCAGTGCTATGCTATGTGTCCTGGATTCTCGCTGGCTTTTTCGTTTTGTGATTTTAGGCAGAGGGCCTGCGGAACTTGGGGCTTCCTGGTCGGAGATCTTTGTTTAGGAGAGATCAGAAGGCCAGTCAGTTCCTTTCTACCTGTTGCTTGTTCTCAATCCTGAGGAAGGGGTACTTTGACACTGGACGGAGGCCTTGATTTTGCCTGTCGCTTCACTTTCATCAAGGCGCTTGCTTTAGAAACTCTTGGGCCGGTTTGCATCTCAGCACCAGAACTCACATCTCTTGCTTCAGACCTCTTAACGACTCCGCTTCTCCTGAACCCTTTCCCCCCTGCTTTTGCAGGACAAAAAGTCCTCTGCAGCGGCAACTTATCCCCCCCCACACCAGCTCCCGGTTTACTCGTCCCCCCCGCGCCTGCCCCCGCCCCTATCCGAACCCCCTTCTTCGGTTTTCTGCCATCGTTGATCCCCGCACCGGTCCCCGCCCCCGCTCCTGCCCCAGTTCCTGCCCCCGTCCCTGCCCCCGCTCCCCTAAACTTCACCCTGAGCATTGTGCCTTACGCATTGCCCCCAGCCCCCGTGCCGGCTCCGGTTCCGGCTCCCGCCCCAGCGCCCCTGATTGCTCCAAATCCTGCCCCCGCGCCCGCGCCTGGTCCCTCCGATTTTGCTCCAATTCCAGCGCCAGCTCCTTTGGAGCCAACGCCTGCTCCCGCGCCGCAGTCAACCAACGGTCTAATAGGGCCCAGTCTGCTGACGCCACCTCCTGCAACGGGGACGCCGGCCCCGGTGGTTGTGGCTTCCCCCCCGTTGCAAAGCACGACGCCTAGTTCGGCAACGACGGGGGCCAGTCCGACTGTGGTGGCGTCTTTGCAAACGATCGTGGGGAGCGACGCGGCTCGCGGGCCAGGCGTTGTGTGGACACTAGTGTTTGGGTTGGCTGCGCTAGTCTACATTTTGTAGGCAGATTGGCCGTTGCAGGGGTTGGTACCTGAGAAGGTTTACGGTGGTGTTGGTCGTGAGCACAATAGTGGACCTCAAGCGAGGGGGGTGGATCTCTGAGGCACAAAAGAGCTCAGTCTTTGAGCTTACATAGGATGTAGATGAGGTTACCCAATCTTGAGGCGAGATGTATTATAAACAGGCTGCGAAGCCTCGGACAAGCACGGCCCATTTGCTCATCGACCCTCTTTCTGTTACTGGATAATCGATAGCTATGATAGTGCTCGCTTAGTTCTAGGCTTACTGCAGTATGGTGGTTGTACCATACACAAGAATTGGAAGCCTAGCCATCAGAACGGTGGATACAGGACCTGGTGTGGAGCTTCAGAAGTCCGTTCCAAGGAAGCTATTAATGTTGTCAATCAAGTGGTTTGAGGCGTGTCACAGTGCAGGCTTGCTTGAAGTGCCGTGCGGTTAGCTTAATTTTAGTATCAGCTTCAGAACCCGCTAGCTTTCAGGTGCAGCCTGAGAACATGAATGCCGTTCCTTTGGTCCTGATAACTGCAAACTTCTTTCGAGAGAATTGCGACTGCACCATATGTTCATGCCTATAAACGTACAAGCTGATCTCGATTTCTTGATCTTCGAATGTGATGCAACATATACAAGCCACTGTCGGATAAAGCGGCGTGCATACTCAATAATTGCATGGCCGGGCGCGGCTGCATGAATGAGACGTGGGTCAATGTGACCATATATACTCGGCGCGCTGCACTGAGGCCCACATGCATGCACGTATACAAATACGAATGGCAGAGCCGGAAGCATTCTCACCACTTGCGGTCCCCAAGATAGCAAGAATGATTCTGCATGTCTGAATTGAACAAGTCAGACACTTGTTCCGTCTTCCATGCTTCAATACGAAATAGCTCTCAGATGAAGGGCATGGTGACTATCATATACCATGAGAATCATGAATAATCCACATGCCAAGAAGCAGAAATGGACGCTAATATGTTACCTCAAAGCGGCATCCAATTCAATGAAAGGTCCTGCTAACTGACTACGTACACTGTAGTTAGTTTTGAGTCCTTTCCTTCTGCTATTTGTTTAACTTGCAAACCTAAGCTCTACTTTGGCTAAGTCCCGAGAAACGTGTTCTGTGACTCCCACAAGCTTTGCCCAGCAGAGCTACCGCAGACAGAGGTTTGCTTAAGATTAGGCATGTGACACGCAGAATGGGTTGCAACAGCAGCTGCAAAGCCTTCGTCTCACTGCAAGGTTAAAACCAACGAAACCACTGCACAACCTAGCACGTCATTTCTTCTGAGCCGAGCTGAGGATATTCTTCATACCTGAAAAGCAGAGCAGAACGTTGATGAGTCCGGGAGTCTTCGAGTTGTCACTGATTGCAGTCAAAGTGTACCCAGGCGAAATGGTATCCAACTGCAGAGCGGGTAGCTCTGCTGGGCCAGGCGACGGAGAATTTGCTAGTGCCGGCGCTTGCTATTTTCTTCTCTTGTGTTGTTCTGTGTGATCTGTATTAAGGCTGTCTTCAAATGCCAACGTTTGTTCAAATGCCTCAAGTCATCAAGTGCCACTGTCAATACTTGAGCCTAGTCAAGATTGGGCCTATGTATTGTTTCATCAGTGCAGACTCAAATCGTGCACAGGAAGTAGGAAGATTCACGAAGCCTGCGCAGGGTTTCAAAAGGCCGGCGCATGCTGCGCAGGGGTTGCGCAGCTGGGAAGCTGTGCGCTTTGGCGCAAGGCGAGTAAAATCTCGCCGGCCAGGCTGCGCTCAGCTCGGCGGTTCGAGCGGTCAGACTGATTGCCGTCTGGCCGCACTGATTACAAGAGTCACGAGCTCAATAATGCAAAAGAAGAGAAAACAAGTGCAAAATACAAGTGTTGCATAATGCAACCTGAGCAAAAAATGTTCTGCAGTCATTCCGAAACTCAGATGTTTCGAGTTAAACATTACATGCCGATTGAGACGCTTTATACATCGGTTGCGGCAGTCGGTGCATCTCCATGATCGATCCAAGCGTGTCATGCCTGTGCATGCATGATTGATTCATGCAAATGTGTCAACGTGACCGCACATTTGCATAAATCATTGATATAAGACAAGTAGCTATAGCCGTTGGCTGCACTTAATCTTGCCTCGTTCACTCCACCATATCTTGGCCGCAAGCTTTCAATATTGGCATACGAGAAACGGCCGGATTAGATCACGAAAGCAGCATATCACTGTTCGATAGTGGCACCTTTGTAGTGCCGTCCAATTGTTTATGCTATTTGCAGCTGCCCATTTGCAGTTTTCTAATACCTGGTCAGTCTCGATCGATTCGCGCTGAAGTCAAAGAACATTAGCGGCCTCGTCAGCTTTGTATTGCTGTCAACATGTGGGCAAAAGTACAACGAATGCACTCCAGAGACCCAGAAATGAAAGCATGAATTGACACCGTCGACACTCATTCAGAACGGCAACAAAGATAGCGAGCTTCTGTACAAAATTCATAGACTTTCAAGTATCTTACACTACTCGAGCGACTGATAGTATCGGTTGCCTACTTCTTTATCTGCATCGCTCGATTAACGAGTTCGTCCTGGACAAAAGAGCACATTATATGAGTACTGAAGGGCATCTGGCTGATCGAATTACCTCACCTATTATAGTGCAACTTCAACTTGCAAACGTTGGCATGGACACCAACGGTTCGAGATCGCAACCTCGTATCAGGATGCAACTGTAACCAAAGCAGACCCCAAAGCAGGAAGCAAAAATGCTACACCAGTAGAACGCCCTCGAGCTACCAATGGATTATAGGACGCCAATGTGGAAGAGATTTCACGGAATCCATCCCAGGACGGCCTATGCTCAGAAAACGTGGACCTATGTAAACGGCCTCTCCTGAAAGCCCGACCAAACGAGAATCGACGCGTCACCCGCAGCCATCTGGCCTTATGCCTGCACTCTGGTTGCGAACACAGCGATAGACGTCGATCTCTTAGGGAGTAGTTGGACAACTTACCTTCCTTCCTTTCAGAGGGTAGCCATGCTCTTTCAGCAGAGTTTTTAGTCTCTCAACAGTGAAAGACTGCAACTCTTGTTCCGTGTAATAACCTCCAGGTGATGCGCCATTGGTCTCTGAAGTCGTGGCAGGAAGGGGGGGCGTCAGGGGCTCGATCAGCTCATTGGGAAACCGCTCAAAGCCGGTCATGTGATTGACACTAGACACAACAAGCAAGCCTTTAACCAATACAAAGGGAGTAGTCTGCGCAAGGGCACAACCAGACTACGTGTGATTAGAAAAACTTTGACGATGGGAGGAAAACTGAGTGCAGTGTTATTTGTGGTCGACCTGGCAACGACGAGCCTTACCTTCTCTACTGCTGCCAATGTTTTGCCTTTTTGCACTCTGCTTCCCCTCCGGTTGCCGGTCAGCGACTCTGCGGAGACAGCATTTCACCCCATCAGGCGACCTCTTGTAGACTAAGGAGTAGGACGCAGCAAGAATTTTGCCAGAATTTGGCTTGCTTTTCTAGAAGCAACGGCACATGTCGCAGTGCTAGGTCACAAGCGAAACTGTCCACAAGCTTGATTCGGATACTCGATACAATGAGTTTGATACGGCTGCAGCACTTGGAGTTCAGCTTTGTGGTGTCCCCCTTGAGATCTGAGGCTGTTCTGAGAAGGTGAACAACCGCGTGGCTCACCGTTTGCCTTTCGCATCGCCCCCGTCTTTGGTCTTGCCTTTCCGAGCATCTGCAATTCCGCCACCGCCCTTCGCTCGGCCTTTCACATCTTTCCGCAGCGTCAGAGCTCGTATCAGGATATTCGTCGGGTCTGTGGTTATAATCTGGTCATCTGCAGAAAAGCACCATGCACACTGCTTTGAGTAGACTGCCGCCAGCACTTCTGCACCGGCGCCTGAAATAAACAACGAGGAAGCAGCGAGACCGAAGGAGCACTTCGAAACAGGAGAATCGCAGCATTCACGGGTCAATGAACAAGAACATCAGCATTCTGCCCTTTTGTGCTGACAATACTGCGAACTTCTGAAGCCCCACGCACCTTACTTAACAATCATTGATCGGCCAATTTGAGAACCAAACAAGAGACAGGGAGTTTACCTGGGGCTTGAGTGTCATGATCACATACATATAGGGATGGAGCACCCTGCAAAGGAACGGTGACAGATACTCCCATTACAGATGCACCAAAAGAAAGGGAGTTGAGCGAATCGACGCCCTTAAGATTCTCAGAACCAGGGACTCAAAAGGCCCAAATGATGAAGAGGGAATGATCAATCACACTAACCAAGAAAGTGCCCGAAGAGGCAAGAACGCAGTTAGCTGCCATAGAAATATACTACTGCACATGACCCGTAAAAGAGGCTGTTCTGACCTGGACTGGTGGGCCAGCGTGCACAAAGTTGCCTCGGGAAGGAAGATCGACAAGTAGCTCCATCGACAACGAACAAGTTTAGCTCTTTAATAAACTTGCTTCAAATTCTGTGACGACTTTCTTGGACTTCAAAGGTGCTGATGCTCTGTGCCGACGCAGCGGGGAAGGCGACAATTGTATTAGTGAACGGTTCAACTCTGCCACTGGAGATGGCCGCCACCACTTGCAGACAGACGCTTGCTAGCACCCACCGCGATGTCCTTTCGAAAAAATGGGCGCTTGTCCTGTGCTTGTCCAGGTCCTTGCCTGTCCAGTGGCGAGATTCTTTCAGAAATTCATGACATTGATCTGCCATCAATTGCAATTTGTCAGATTCTGGCGCGCCAAAATTCTTTAAAATGCTTGATCGAAGAAATACGTACGTGGATTCTCGCTGCATCTGCACCACCCGATTTCATGCGGGGCAGAACGAAATCATTCATCGACGGACTGAAAGATCCTTGCATGTCCCTGTCACCTGAGCCTAATCTGTTTGGATCTAGGGTTTGGTTCCAAATTGCCAGTGCTGCTGCAGATTTTTGCCATTGCAACAATCGAGCAGCTGAATTGAGTAGGGTACCTACCGTAGATCAATGTCTCTCGACAAGTGAGGAAGAATCACGAGAATGCTTGAGGCAGTGGGCAGCGGGGGCAATACGCCCGTCTTCCTCTGTTTCCAATTGAGAGTCTCGCTTATTGTTCATTGCGTGCGAGGTACTTGTAATGCTTAAGAGAGGTGAGAGGAACAGGTGTCACCGCCCATTGCTTCACGTCGTTTGAAGGCTCGGTTGGTGCAACTGTGTCCAAGATGGAGCGAGCTCAATCCACTGGGAAGCTTTCTGCAATGGCTAAGGCAAAGACAGGTAAGCTGTTTCAGTTTTCCATGCTGCAAACGCTGCATTGCATAGCACCAAAGCTTAGTCTCTAGATTATGGCAATAATTCTCAATAGCAATGCATCCAAGAAACTTTCCAGATTTCAGGCACTTGAATATCATTGCAATTCTGTATGGACATATTTTCCATGTCAACCCTGAGACTGTAAATTCTGAAATGCAAGGAGCTAAGCCATCGATCACTGCAATGCAGCGTTTCAAACATTCTCTCAGCGTGCTGAGAAGCTCCTTAATGAGGTGAAGGCAGAGATAAGAGGACATGAGGGGAACAGCAGCTCGCAACCATCACCAAACGCTTCCAAATGTGAGTCAATGATTGATGGTGGTTGTGGTGAGCATGCCAATGTTCATGCAGGCACTGCTTTATCAGATTGAACAGTTTGGTGCGTTGTCAGCTGCTCTGTTTAGAAGTATCATGTCGTACTCGCAGTCTCAAAAAAGTCGTTCTGTATGCCTGTACACTATGCTATGCTTGTACCGCAGCCTAGCCAGTGTGAATGTGTCATACTTGTCGTCTCAAAAGCGTCTGGTCCTAGTCTGGTCCCTTTGCCGCTCCTGCAGCATCACCATTGCAGCCCCTGCCGTGGACTGCAAAAAATATGCACGAAAAGAAGCACGAGGCAGATTTCAAGCGGGGCATCCTGGAGATTTCGCAGGTCTGTGCCCCTTTCTGCCCAAATCAATCCGCTACCGACTTCCGGAGGGGGCCATCAATCCAGCTTTGGTATCTTCAAAGCAGCTAGGGAGTCAGCAAGATTGTTTGAGCAACAGTCTTGTGAAATTGCTCTTTCACATGGTAGGTACGTGAAGTTGTTTGGTGTTTAGGCCTGCAAAGATTCAGTATGCCCCTACAATCCGGAGGTATCCCCTCATTGTCGGAGGTACACCTCTATGACCGTGGAAGGTGGAACCAATCACTTTCTGGTTCCATTGCTCTTACTGTTAACTTTTTGGACTTAACTCGCCCCCTCCGTGCGACAATGCCTTTCTGGTGAAAGTAATACAGTCTATCCGCAAAGCGACCTTTTGTGGCGAGTCTCATGTGACAACTGACAGGAGCTTTCTTGCCTCGTTGCAGAAACCAGAGGAGTACTTCCTTGGTCCCTATGATGAGAACCTGATCATTGACATGAGGGCGGCGATGGCATCAGCGGGAGCAGTTCTCGAGGTGGGGCTATGCTCAGGCTCTTGTTGTCGGTTTGGCAGTATCTTGACAATACGGGATTCGCTCATGAAGGGGCCCTTTCACTAACTTGTTCAAGCACTTATTTGGGAATAACCAAAAACGAACGCAATTAATCAGGCTCCTCAATAGGTCGAAGTAGACTTCCAGCGGTAGGTAACGGTATAGTTGAACGGCCGGGACGAACCGAGACGCTTGTGGTGCAAAGGAAGGGTGATTCTTTGCTTCTGAAGTGCACTTTCTTCAGTAGACCAAAGAAGTTTGACTTCTGCGCAATAATCATTTCCAACGCAAGAGATTGAAATTCGAGTTTGACGGTGGAGGATGCATTCTGGGCGCTATGCTACCAGCCGGTCTCCATAGAGGAAACGATGATGACCTCTGGGGCCTAGTACTCAACCAACTCCATCTCTTTAAATGTTCCGTTATTTTCAATTCGGATTAACCTCCATCCCATCTTTGGGTGGCTTAAGCGCTTCGAGCCCCACGCTACCAGCTGGTTCCCATCTTATGAAAAGACCGTAATTTTTCTGATACCAACCAGTTGGTTCGCTCTTTCTCGCCTCGATGCCCACTCTGAAGGTGGATGACGTGCTTCGAATGCTGCGCTACCAGCTCGTCCCAAAGAAAATGAGCGAACCGAGGTTTGAAAGCGTCATACAGAGATTTGCAATCTGTTTATTCCAATCCGTTGCTCCAATCCTTTCAACTAATATTCTGGGCCTCGATTGTTGACTCTGAAGGTGGATGACGCGCTCCGAGCACTGCGCTACCAGCTCGTTCCAAAGAAGATGAGCGACCCTGAGTTCTGGAAGCGGTACACGATCGCCGTGAAGCGCATCAAGCAGGAGGTTCTGGACGCAGCAGCCAGCGAGGACGTTATCCCGGAAAGCTCGTTGACGGACAGCGTAATCATCAGCCGCCAGGAGTCGGGTCTCGACGCCCTGCGTGCAGCGGTGAGTCTTGTGTCTGGGAACTTGTTCGCGAGTTCTCAACCCCTCGTGCTAGATACTTTGGAGACTTGCTTGAGACTGTGAACCGCCTTGTACTTGTAGACTTGATAGGATTGGAGTTCCGTTGAACGAGCTATTGACGGATAGTGTGATCATCAGCCGCCAGAAGTCGGGTGTGAAAGCCCTGCGCACAGCAGTATGCTTCCGAAGCATTCCAAAACTCCTGCCAGAATTGTCTATCGCCAGGAGTTCAAGCAGTCCCTAAACCGGAAGTTTAGCAAAGAGTCTGACTCGTAAGCCAGGATTTGAGACCAGAAGCCTTGCGAGCAGCTCTTGGTTTGCAGACCCTGCTCAGACTCCTTGTTTTGGGCTATTCCCAAACTCTCTAGATAGGTAAAGCCAGAAGGATAGAACGCCCTTGTCGACAAAGTGTCATTGATCTGGACGAGTCGGGGCTCGGAGACTCATGGCGGAACGCGCCCCAAGTTCGTGCAAGTCAAGCTCGAGAGCTACTTCACTGAAGGTGCTAAGAATTGAGGTTATTTCGAGGGCCATCTTTCGAGCTGCGGTGAAGATCGCACGGGGACTCGAAGCAGGACCTTGTCTCCAATCTTTCAAAACTGACATTTAAAAGCACTTAGCTGTACACCTTTTACCCGATTGGCGATTTTCAACCAATGCCCTCCTTCAGCGGGGAAATGAAGCGTGTCATGCGATCTCTGTTCCTAGAGGCCTTTAGTATCAAGTCGCCTGGTTTTGAGGGTGAACGATCTTTCACATTTAGGCATTACCTTGCCAATATTCAGGCCAAGCACGAACTGCACGAGACGCCCGTGTTCCTCCCCCTGCCCATTCCGCCATCCACCACTGTGCGACGGCTGAGCCGGGCTGCCCAGTGAGTTCCCTCAAACCCTTCGACGGACCTCTAAAAACGTGTGGGAGTGCTTGCCGGGGTTTCGCAGGTTGCCCGCAAGACTCGAAGGAGGTTGTGCAGTTAGTGGGTCCTGATTTTAGCAAAATACCACCTAAACATTTCTGAAAGATATGGATGGCCGACCTGCCCTTGCAATTCACTAGCAGGATTTGTCTGTCTCCTCTCCCTCGGCAAAGAGAGTGTTCGGCACTTACCTCAGCACGATGTTCCTCTACGTTTCCCCAACATTTCCCCCACTTTCTGCCCTCACATGACTAAATATATTCTCTCTTTTTGTTGACCTATCAATGTGACTCACCGCGGCCTTCTCTGTTTGCTTGACCGTCCGCGTGCTGAGAAGCACAGATTCATCCGCCTCGTAGCAATGGCTACCACTTTTCCCACCTCCCTCACAACGTGTACGACTTTCTCCCTCTTTAGGGGAAGTGGAATACAATGGGGGGCGCTAGCTCTAACAAAAGGGTACGAAACCTTTCCGTACGATTTCCCCCCGGCTCATGTACGATTCCCCATGCTCTGTCAACAGGGTTACGAACGATTCCTCCCCTGCAGGTTCTCGAGGGCTTGCTCCAGTATGAACGATCTGTCAGCTTACGAAGGCGACGCCTCGGAGCAGAACGGCGATAGTGGCGACCCGTGGGCCAGTCTCGTGAGCGGTCTGCCGGGTTTCGCGGCCAAGACGAAGCCCAAGAACAGGCCGAGTAACACGGCCGGCGCGGCAGAGTATCACGCGCTGCTTTGGACGCTGTTTGAGGCGGGTAGGTTCATTTGGGGCGTGGGGGCGAATCTGCTGAAGACTCAAATCTTCCATCGTGATGCAAACCACAATCTGGTTTTTAAGGTTTCGAAAGCGGTGTGCCTCCTCAAGTATTCTTCTGCCCTAGAGGACAGGGGCTGTAATCTTCGATAATGGGGCTTTGAGAAGAGCCGAGCTTTGGCTGCTGACTCTTATGCGAGGGCAAGAGCTTGATCAGGGTGTGGAGGCTTGAAGCGGTGAATATTGGGAAACGCGTTACGATCGAAACTTGCACGATGAAAGGGCTTCCAGGAGTCATGGAAGTACAGGCTTAAGCAGAGAGACGTCCAGGCACTGTCTAGGAACGGCCGCATTGAAGGCGACTTGGCAAGTCTTTGGCTAAGTCGGACTGTCTCCAAGTCTACCCCTTCCTTGGGAGACACTCGTCTCCTCTCCTACCACGTTTCAAGGCCTCACAACGTTGATTGAACCAGCGTCAAGAGTCGCTCTTTCTGACCTACGCCTTCCTTCTCCCAGACGCCACTGCAGAGGACCTCGCATCCAGCTCAGAAGCAGATGTTCTTGATCGGCCGCACACGTTTGCGGAGGACGTCGCAGGTTCATTCCTTCACTCGCTTTCCACATTTTCAAGGATTCGTTTTTCCATCTCCACAGACGCCACGGCAGAGGACCTCGCATCCAGCTCCGAGGCGGGCGTCCTCGATCGGCCTCACGTTTGCGAACGGCACCGCAAGTTTATTCCTTCACTCGCTTTTCACATTTTCAAAGATTCGTTCTTCCCTTTCTCCTCAAGACGCCACGGCAGAGGACCTTGCATCCAGCTCCGAGGCGGGCGTCCTCGATCGGCCGCACACGTTCTGCGGAGGACATTACAAATTTTTTCCTTCGGCTCGCTGTCTACTATCTTAACCGTTTGTTCTTCCATCTCCACAGACGCCACGGCAGAGGACCTTGCCTCGAGCTCAGCAGCAGGCGTTCTCGAACGGCCGCACACGTTTGCAGAAGACATCCAGGGCGCCCCGGCCGACAGCTTTGTGGCGCAGCTCGCGGAAGTGATGGCGGGGATCAAGACGGAGCAGAAGATGGCCGCCTTCTGGCTGGAGGTTGTGAAGCAGGTGAGGCGCGTTCACCAGGCAATCTGGGGACGAGAAACTGCGTGCACTTGAACCAGGACACCGGAGAGAATCAATAGACGAAGCAGGATCAGTCTCGAGGCAGTCCCTGTCTAGTTGAACAGGAGACTCCGGCACAGCTCACAATCGATCACGACCCCGCTCCCTTTTGCGATTTAGTGTTCCGCTGACCGAGCTCTATATAGGAACTTGTGCTTCGCAGAGTGCAACGAGCTCTGTTTAGTAAGATCGAGCCGCTTTTGGCGCTTGTTGTTGCTTCCTCTTTCCCACTCCTCTTCCTTGCTTCGTTCTCTTTCTCAGCTACAGAATCCAAAGCCAGTGACTTTTAGCTGGGCACGCGTTCCACGTGCTCATATCTAACTTCGCAGCCGAGCCCATCGCGACTCTGATTGCTGCCGCAACTAACCTTGAGCCTGAAATCACGAATTTGAATGCCCACGTCACAACGTGCTGATTGATATGAGTTTGCACTGCATCGCAGTTGCGCAAGCACTGGGCGGAGCGACGGCCCGTCCCTCGCACACCTGTCGACGCGCAACCGGAGCTCTACTTTTGCAACCTGCAGCAACAGCTCGAGCTGCTCAACTGTTGCATTGCACGGTGGGGCTACGTCCTTTGAAACAAGTTTTCATTTGATTGGATTCTGTAATAGGCGGCAACCGGAGCTCTCTTGCGATTGGCAGCTATGCTTAATTGCTGCAAAGCCTGGTGACGGAAATTCTCCCGACCAGCGCTGCACAGCCCAGTGGATATATTTTTTCAAGCATGCTGCATAGGTTTATAAAACTCTCCTTCGAGAACATAGCGGATAGATTTCCCTGCATTTGATGCATAGCACCGTGACAGTAAAGGTCGTGAGAACGGCTGCCTAGCCCGCTGTGGTTACGCCCACGAAAATGGCCGCAACAAGTACGGTTACGGATGCAAGCTCCTCGAGAGCCTCCCCCCGTAAGCATGACGTCAACGTGCTAGAAAAATAGAGACACTGCATCCTTAACCCGTGTCACTGAAACGCGCAACTCTCTTGCTAACCGCGGTCAGCCATTTTTGCAGGGGGAAGCGGCGAGCCGCCGCGGTGGAAGCCGCAAGGCTGGCGGCAACGGCAGCTGCGGCAGAAGCAGCCGCTCTAGTTCCGACAAAGTCCCCCACAGAACCCCCAATCGCGTCCAGCAGAGCCCCAGAAGACGAAAGCCCTAGCGCGCCGTCCGACTTAGTCGACCAGTCCGCCCGAGAAGCGGACTCCGAAGCTTCTCCCGCTCAAGAACCGCGTACCAATTTGGAAGCGCAAATAGGAGAGAGCGAAGGGGAAGAGAGGACGAACGGGAACGCCGAATCATTGCAATACCACGATGGCGATTCTCGATCTCAAGTCAGCCCCAGCCAAAGTGTAGAGGCGAGTAGTGGGGCAAACGGTGCTAGTGTTGGGGCGCCCCACAATAGCGGAGCCCCAAAAAGGGCGATCCGGGAAGGGGTTGAGTGCGCAGTTCCAGGGATGCGGCTGCTCGCGACGGGGGAGCAGATGTATGCGCCCGTTACTCAGGAGGGGCCGATTCTCACCGAGGACCTTATCAAGGAGACGGAGGAGTTGGTGCTCAAGACTGGCAGGTGAGAATGGGCCGACTGCAAAGCAGGGGAAAATAAGAGAATTTTTCATGTTCCGACATTTCAGTACCTGCATGAGGTCGAGGGAATGGTTTGAAACTTGCCTTGAACATCTTTTCGGTGATGTTGAAGATTGAGCGCGGAAGGCACGCTCACGGGTCGAAATTGAGTGATCTTATCCCGATAAGTTGAGCATGACTGGATGCAATCGTTGCGAGTCCTTGTTCACCTTGCTTCTTCGTCCCCTACCTTGAACATCGATTGTACCTTAATGATTCTTTGAGCATCTTCGTCTGAAAGTCAGTGCGGCTTTCAAAGCAAACTCGTGGCGGTCTTACAGGCCATTGCCCCCCGCTTATGTCCTCGAGCACTAACGCTTGGTTCCGTTGCTTTGGCTGCGTTTCACTAACTTCGTTTCCGCGCCACACGACACCTTTCTGAATAATATTCAACAAAGCTCGCAGGTCGTGCAGATGCTCTATCACTCTCTCTTCCGCCGTGACATCTCCCTTTCCACTGACGCAACACTTTCCCTCTTTGCCAAAGAGGCGTTTCCCTCTCTGCTGACGTAACACTGCCCTTTGCTGACGTAATCCTCCCTCTTCCTCCTCGCAGCGTGGGCCACGGGTGCAAGCAGCTCCTCTCCGACATGCAAGCGTTCAAGGCGGCCAACCCGGGGTGCACTCTCGAGGACTTCGTCCGCTGGTACTCCCCCCCGGACTTCATAACCGGGTCAATGCCGACCCCCCCTGCAAAAAGCAGGCACGGAGACGAGGGGCCAGAGACACCCCAAAAGGGCGGCACAGAAGGCCCGCGGCCGGAAGAGAACCCTGTGACACCATCTCCTAGTCGGGGTGAGCCGTCAGGCAGTCGTTTACTTGGCGCAAATGCATTGCTTGGCGCACGGCATGCCGACGCAGTTACATTCGCTTGCCCCGTCCGATCCCGTGCGCATGCCGCTACACCTCAACTCTCTCATTCCCATATATCGACTGCTCCTGGCAACCCGCCTCCCTCCGCAATTCCCACCTTCCCCAAGCCCCTCGTCTCCCTAACGCTCCGTTGCGCGATACTTCCAGCACGATAGCCCGCTCGGTTGGACCTTCATTTACTTTCGCAAAGCGTTCCATTCCTTTCTATTCAACTCTTGAATCCTCTCGTTCTCTCTAAACACTTTCACCAATGTTTATTTGGTGCGCTCTCTCTTTCTTTGCAGCCCCCGACGCCCCCGAGCCGCGCGCCTCCCCCCTCACCCCCTCCCGCCTTGCCTCCCGCAAGTTTTTCCAGAAAGGCGCGCTCAGTGCGCGCATGCAGTCCGAGGGCAACCTGTGGCAGGAGCTTTGGGCGTCCGCACAACCGATCCCCGCTGTACGGCAGGCGCCGCTCTTCGACGAAGAGCTGGCGGGGTAAGAGCCAACTCTATTGGGATTTACCGAAGTGTCCTTTACAACCTTTTAGTTCCGTTGAAGCCGGTTCGCGTTTGATACGGTTTCTGTTTGATTCACTTTGTTTCTGGTTGGGTCGTTACGTTCTCGTTTGGTGAATAATGACAAGAACAAAAGTACTCTTCATAAGGACAGTTTTGGAAGCATGTCCAGACGCATGCTGTGGTGACCGTAGTCGTTCCCAACGAAATTGAGGAATACGCACAGGGTGCTGCTGTCCATTACGGTCTCCGCATACCCGTGAAAGACGAACGGTCCTCAACGTCTGGGGCATACTGAAGGTTTAAATGTTATCTATCTTTGATGTGACCGAGTCGTTGGTTCGGATGAACGATGGTCTTCTTTGTTCGTTGCTGCCCAATCTGTATCTGCGAACAGAGACCGGAGGTCATGTCGGAGGTCATGTGTCACTCCGCCGATCTATCAGCGTCCACAACGAGATAATCAAGGAATCGCTCACGTGGCAGTGTCGTTCACCGGAGCTGATGGCCGATTCCGACCACCCCTTGGTGCCGTGCGAAAAGTGGCGACATTCCGTTCCTGCTACAAATATAAAGAGGTATTGCAACTTATGCTCACCTTGTAGTCCATCAAACCGTCAGGTTTACCCACTGATTGTCACTCCGTTCCGCAGGGAGACCGCACTCGACGAACTGGCCAGCATCGCACCGTCCGACCTTTTCGAGCAACTCTTCGTGGTTGCCTTGGGGGCGGGCTTTGCTGTTGCGCAAGCGTCGCCGCAGGCGGCCCGGGAACCCCTCAGAAGCTGCCTGGAACAGTGCGCCGTGTATGCGGCCGAGACGTGCGGGCGGCAGATGAGTCCGGCGAAGCTGGAGCGGCTGTGCCAGGTACGGACCGCCCCACTCTAGTTGCATGTTAATCTGGCGAAGCCGAGTGCCGTTGCCCTCGCTCAGTGGATCCCATGCGTTTCGTGAAGCAAAAAGGGTTGGCGACGATAAGCAGGCGAACCGAGGTCGCAGATTGAAACGTTTTCCACTTCGCAGGTGTATGAGACGATGGAGCATGCCGCCCTGTTACCACCCGAGGAGGAGCACCCCGCTTCTGCATCTGCAGAAGCACCTCAGGATAGGGACTCAAAGCAGAGCAAAAGCGACACGGCTGATGAGGAGAAGAACGACAAAGCAGAGGTTGTTGCGAATGGAACAGCAGCTGGAGACGTAGAAAGCGTGAAGCAGGTGCTTGATGTAGGCTCGAAGGAGGGCTCTTCGGAAAATGGGACTAATAGGTTGCAAGGACAGAAAACCGAAGAGGACTGGACAATACTGTAGAAATTGACTTGGACTAAACTCGTGACTGTATTATACAGGTCTGTTGATGGAGTGTATGTACTATAAAATCACTTGCTCTTCTCACGAGCAGGTCCTGGCCATCGGTACCGGGTTATTTAACGGCATGCTTGAAAGAGAATGTGCTTGGCGGCCTGCAGTCGTAGGACTGTTTCAGTTTGATCGGGCGATCTGACATATGTTTATGAACTTGAGACTGACATTGTGGTATCAATGGACTGGCAACGGACGTAGGTTAGCATGCAGCGGGGCTTGCCATGTTTTGACAGATACCGTATGTTTTACGACATGTATGCCGCCCACCCGCGTGTCTATATATATGTGCCAAAGTATTATATTTCGTGGGAAAATGCCACGTTGATCCTTTATCACACGCGTCCGGGGCTTAAACTCGGATATAATGGTATTGCAATCGCGGATTAGATTATAAACATGCCAGGTGCGTTACCGTCTAACTTCGTTTAAGCACGTGCGTAAGTTTCTGCTATGTATATATACCCGCGGCCACAATTTTCAACACTGGCCCGCGATCTTGCACCGAGTCACTAGCAGATTGACGGTATGTGGTGCCGCACGTACGAAAGAGAGACATGGTTGAGGCTAGCTCACGCGGCGGCAGCCGACGCGCACATGGTTGGTTTTCTCGAACAGATGCTTTCGTAATCTGCTTACTGAACGCTGGCCTGACAAGGTGCTTGTTTGCGGGGTAAAACGGGCCATCACCATCATTGTGGCGGGCAGCGTTTCGATCGTTACATGACAGTTAAAAGGTTCGGCTCTGGATTAGATGCTAGCCAGGAGCACAGACGCGGCTGCGCCCAACGAGACAGTCGTCTAAGCGAACTCGATTTACTCAAATTTCTATGAAATAACTGAATTTCTGCCTCAGCATGCCAACGATTCAGCTCGCTGGTGACAAAGCTGATTTTTGTTGCGCGAGGTGCTAGATTATACGACTTCTGGCTGCTTAACCAGTAAACAGTTTAAGATCTTACCTTCGGTTCATTGCTTGATTTTGCATACATCGCTTGCTAACGACCTACTTCGCTGCTTGACGCTTTTTAGCTATAGAGATGCTTTCTCGTTTAAGGACAGCCAACAGTGTCTGTGAGCTTTCAAGAATCTGCAAAGCAAGGATGACATCTGCGGTGAATCCCGCCTGGTAGCAAGCATCACCCAGTGCACCGGCAAAAGGCTTGTGAAACATCAGTCTCGACTGTTCTTGATACTCTAGCAAAGCTTGAGGACGCTTCTTATCAAGTGACTTTGTCTGCCTACGCAAAAGAGTGGGCCACAAGAAAAAGAGAAGGCTCTCCAAGAAAAGAGACCCTTATGTCCAATAAACGGTAATAGCTCCGGACAAAGCCCCTTTAACAAAACGAGATGCATGATCAGTTATTGGACCAAGGGGCTGGCTTTCAGAAGAGGGACCTCTGAATGTCCGTCAACATTGATGGGCGGGCACCGTAGCTCTGGTTTCGCATTTTCCCAAGTCGGAGATGAAACCTCTGCGTTGTGCAATGTGTCGTGTCAGACAGGAACAACCAATGAGAGGACTTACCTTTTGATAAGCTGCTTCCGTTTCCTGGATCGTCTTTTCGTACTCGTTTCGAGACGCTACCTTTCGGCCCAGGCTCTCATTCACCTGGGCTAGCCTCTTGGTGAGGACGGCAAGATCGCCCTGGATCTTGGCCTTCTGCAGAAAACAACAAGACATGCACTGGCCTCAGGCATCAAGTTTTTATGAGATATTTGACAACGACTAGCTCTGATGTGGAAGATGATTGTGAGCGCTCGCCTTATTGACGAGAAATGGAAACATTTGGATAGTGGAAAACGGTAGTATCCTTCTGTGAAACAAAACGAAGGACTTGTCCACCTGCATTCCAGTCCGAGATGGGCCAAAACTGGCCAGATCGCATCAAGGCCATGGCTTGCTTTGCCGTAGAAACGGCATGACAAATAAGGGCCTCAGCCTTTGAGCTCCCTCACAATCAGACCTAAAAGAGGCTATGTATTGCAGAACGAATCAACTCGAACCTTGACCTTCTCAAATACCAAAGCTCAGTGGCCTCAACCAATAAGCTCCTTGGAGATAAATTGTCAGGGAGTCCAGTCTCTACGGCAACATGAAAGGCGGGTTTCATGAATGTTTAGCCTCGAAGAGGCCCACCCTACATCACCTTTCCGAACAGACCGGTTGCATACGCAACTTCCACTTTGAAGTTGCAAGTAAGATGTGAACAAAGCGATGATGCTCGCATCAAAATGCTCGAGTTACTGATCTGCGTTGATTGCCTTGACAATGAGGACCGCTTATTGGGACTTAATTCATTACGCTTGAAAACCGGAGCGGCTGACAATGAAGTCAAAAATCAAGACGAGTTCTCTCAAGTCAAGAATCGAAATGACTTCTTACAAGTGATAAGGCAGAAGCATACATTTGGTAAGTCTTGGCCCACAAATGAGTAGCATGGAAGCAGAGGCAGGAAGTCAATTCGCAAAATTACCTCCTCCTCTTCTGTAGCTATTAGCCGGTCCACTTCAGCCTTCTTTTCTCGGAGGTCTTCTATGCCTGTGCAGTATCGGGACATCGTTGTTGGAATGTCATCCAGCTGGAACACTCAATTCAGACTCCAAATAAAGACGCTCCTTCAAGGAAAGGCTCGGAGCTTCTGACTGGCTTTCTCCTGAACAATATTGCTCTTAGCCAGCATTGGCAAGGTTGTCAAACGGCATCTTCAGTAGGATTGGGGTTGAGACAGAATCTTGGCCTTGGGGGCATATCAGCTGGAAATAGAGCCCCTGGGGAACACCTTTTTCCAAATCACAGTAGCATCAGCATAGAGAAGCTTGCCACTTCCATTATCCAATCTAGACGGACAATTTTGTCCATCACTATCGCCTGCTGAAATTACAATGCATCGCACAGAGGCTGTGATTGCTAGTCAACAAAGGCGTTGGGGGGAAGCTTCGAACTCTGACAACTGCCTGATCCTCTGAGCACGAAGCTGCTCCAGCGCAGAAATGAAAAGCTACAAACTTAGCTGCACAACATTAGTTGCTGCAATTGCCTGTGACCTGGTAACTGACTAATGCAGAAGAGAAGCAACCCAGAAAGAGAATGAACTTTATGTGCCTTCCGCTATCCTCTTGTGATTAATTACCTGTTCTCTCCAGTCAATCAGCTAAAGATTGCGATGACAAGTCGGACATGGTCTGCTGAGGCATGCGCTCAACTTACATTTCACAAGTTCATTATTGTGATTCTGCAAGGCCGCGCCTTGGGCCGCCATCGACTCTCTTTGCTGGGGCCAACCAGGGAGCCTCTTATAGGGGGCTTACTTGACAATCAGTGGGTTAACCTTGCGGGTGCACTCTCATACAGAATTTGCCTGTTGCAACATACAGAAGAAGTCAAAGCAGATTGGATCCAGATTCTGCTGGCATAATCTGTTTCTTCGACTGCACGACACGGCCGCTGACGAACAACTTTATAATCATACGGTGCGGCTGGCCTCGAAATGCCAATAACGTCTCTAACGCTGGAAGAAAGCACTTGCCTACATGAGAAGATAATCGTAAAGGGGCCAGTGCGCCTTTCAACTTCAAGTTTCTCAGCAGGCTAAATGAGTTGCCTATGCAAAGTTCAAACATGGCTGGGCGGCATCCTGCTGAGGCTGCTTCGAGCGTGCCTGGGCGCCCAATTTTAGGGTTTCGTATGCGGACGATGGGACAATGGGACGTCCTGTCCACAATCGGCCGCCAATCGTGCCGTCCGAGCTCCGAGACGGTACTTTTGAAGGCTACTATTTAACTTGGTAGCCACCGTCCGCAATTGTAAACCCTCTGAACCTCGTCCGGACAAGATGTCGTGCGCCGCGCGGCCGCGCCAGCGCTTCAGCCTCCGACTGCCAGGCCAACTCAGCTGCAATGCGTGAAGGACTGTGCCAGGCTCCTAATCACTCCTAATACGCGAAGTTGATAAGTATCACCTGAGTTCTGTTGCGCTGGCGTGTGCTCTACTACCTAAATGAGAAAACTAGAATAGAGAGCGACATTCCCGCAACATAGAAAAACAGCTTGTTTATCTTCGCGGCTTGTAAAGGATTTTGACTTGGCGTCTCAGTGCGGGCCACTTGCCTAGCCAGTGGTCTGTGCTCTACTAGTAGAGTTTCTCTGCAACCAAAGTCTAAAAGGATCCTACCATTGGAAATTCTCGTACCCGTCATATAGGCACGCTCCTTGTGGTAGATCTTTAGAATCTTCACGGCGACGGTTGATTTCATTGCAGTCCTCCGAATCATAGTACGGCAGACTCCATAAGAATAGAGAATCCTGCGGTCAGACGTTTGATACTTTGCCTCTGAATGTGATTCCGGAAGGGAAGACTGGACATGGGCCGGGGAACTTTTGGCTGAAGTCGTCTTGGCTAAACTCGGGCAACGATACAGATTCGGAAGAAGAGGGAGACAATCTCCACGATGTAAGGAGACCTGCCGCTGGAAACGGATCCACTGCCAGCGGTTTGTTCACCGAATCGAAGTGCTATGACTTTGCCTTCGCATACGGGTAAGCCTTGCAGATAAGGTTCCAATGAGATGTTCCAACTTCTGCATCATTCGCATATTGTTTCAAAGATGCGAAGCAGGCAATTGATCTTTGGACACAAGCACGAGGCTTCTCATGGCAACCTGTAACCCTGCTTGATAGAGTCTACAGATTCTTGCTTTGGCTCCTTAGGGAGATTCAAAGCAGACATAGGATTGCAGTACGTTGTCACAACTGATCCATTTCATCGCATGATGAATCTCCGCATTAAATTGGAGCTTACTGCGAGAACAACCTCCGCTTTATCACCTTAATTTTCATTCTTTACTTACAATTGCAGCGATCTCTTCTTCAGCGACAGGGTCCTCTGGTTGCGGAAAGTGGAGACAAGCACTGAAGGTGAGCACCATGCGGATCTATGTGGCAGACACCTTCACTGTAGAGTATACACTAGTCGAAAGAAGAAGGTACTAGCAAAGAGATGGTAGACATGAAACCTTGTTGACAGGAGCTCTTTGAGTCCTCTGCTCTCTTCACCTAGTGTCAACAGGAGTATAGCGATCTTTATTTTGTTTCCCATATCCTTGAAGAAGTCTACAAAATGCAAAAAGATACTGAAGTTCGTTAATGAACAACGGTTTGTTCTCCTGCAGCAGAACAGACACTTATTGAAGAGGACGTGCCTATCAACAGTGCCATCTTGGCGTCCAAAAGCGGTGTATTCAGGACCATGCTCTCCAGCGGTATGGCAGAGTCTAGAAAGGATTGTGCCATCATCATCAGGATGAGCTGCAATGACGGTAAGACCCTGCACATCTTCTGCGATGTTCAAAGAAGACTGTGAGCTCTGGAACAATACGAGCCGTCTCAACGAACCGCCCTACGGTTATTGCATATGTTCGACTTCTCTCTTGAGTATCTCCTTTAGTTCCTTTTATTTTGATTGAACTGCTCGCTCAGAAGGTCTTTGTTGCTTTGCAGAGAAGCAGTCCTTCCTGGAGATGATACGATTCATCTACATTGGCTATCTGTCGACCTCCAGCCTGGCTGGTGCAGAACGCGCTAACGAGCTATTGCGGCTGCTATCAGTTGCTGACAAGTATGGGGTCCCGAGCTTGGTCAGAGCCGCCAGTACCGCTTGGGGAAGGGTGCTCGGTGATGTCGATCTGCTGCAGTACGCTGCATTCCGCCTACCCCAGGAGTACCAGTTGCAGTACCCTCAGATTCGGAAGCTCCAGGGAGAAGCTCGCGGATCTCTCTTCCGTAGATTTTGGAATGTCCGCAGCTGGGATCACTTCCCGCTCAAGAAGCTAGGCCGGGAGGCTGTTGTCTTCTTGCTCTCAAAGGATGAGCTTGGAGCGGACTCGGAAGATGACGTGTTTCTACGCGCGTTGGAGTGGGTCAGAAGTTCTCATGACACGATAGAGGATCGACAAGAGGCTATGCTGGAGCTGTGTACGCATCTCCGCTTTGCTCATATGTCCGGCGAGTTCATCAAAGACCAGGTAGTCGAAGCTCCGGAAATGCAAACCCCTGGTGTGCAACGTTACGTCATGGAAGGCCTTTGCTATGCCGCATCCTCGCAGTCAATCAAAGACTCGACAGAAGAAGGCCGGTTCCAGAAGCGAAGGGGTCCAAACTTTGAGGTCTGCTTCAAAGCCAGGTTGGAGAAGAATGCTGCGGAGGGCAGCCAGCAATACTCGCCCATCGTGGTAAGCCACTTCCGGAAGTGGCAACTGCTCGTTCAAAGGGATAAGAGTGCATCCGGTTCAAGCACGGTCGGAGTGTACCTAGCAGCTGGTGGGAATAAGGAGGAGAAGCTTGTGTTAACACCAACTCGAGTGTCGGTGAAGCTATCTGCCAAGAATGTAGTGACCGGGAATTGGATCCAACGTCGGGAGCCATACGAGCACGTTTTCAAACCGACCGAAACAAGTTGCGGGTACAAAGACTTGTTTGGTCTATCTTGGGATGCAGTGCCTGGGGTGGGAGTTTGGGTAGAGGCCTCCGGCGAAGTCTGTCTAAAAGCTGAGGTGACTTTGTTATCGTCCACTTGAAGATCAGTCGAATTCGTAGGATTCTCGTTTTGACTTGGTATGCCACTTTTACAGGGTGTTAGCAAGATGTTTTGTAACGCCATCGCCAAGAAAACTCATCGTCATAGAAAGGAGATATGTTGGGCACGCCTGCGGATAAGAAGTGCGACAGCCGTCATGCCCATCTGCTACTTCCCAAGAGATATATTCATAGGGGTCAAGTATGCATGCAAGAAGGCCGCTTCGACAAATTCTAAACGACATATTGACCTGAGGATCCGTAAGCATCAAGCTATGATGCCATGCAACCGTTATGTTGGGACAGTAATGTGTTATTGAGATCTGACTCGGCTGCCATTTGATCAATTTGAAGCTCAGATTGGGGACGATAAGTGCGGTTCAGATCTAGGCTCAGGCGTAAGGCTGATAACCCCCAGTGGCCACATGCGCATGATCGTGTACATGGCCGTATTTGTCATATGTGTTCCATTGATCTCTTAGTTGGCGCTTGGTCAATGGCGGCATCCGATCCAATTATGTAGATTCTCCAACATCATTGACCAAAGCTCTGAGGAGATGATCTTCTCGATCATGCGCAGGCGCCATCACTGCAGGAAACATGAGAGTACTCACATGCAGCCTGCACACAGGCATGCGAGTCGGACACTGTGCAGAAAGTAGATAAGTTATAGCGGGAAGAAATTTGCAGGATTAAGCAAGTGTCATCTTAACCGCGTATAGTAAAAATGCATCATGTGCTCGTGTTAAGTACTGAGCTGCGTCGATTATGAAAGCTATAGAGTCTTTGAACTGCATTGCAGTACGTGCTCCATATAAAAAGGCATGTGGCATCAGATCGCGCGTGGTACACTATTGTGGGCGGGAAGCGTGCACGGACCGTTCGTAACAGAGGCGGCAGCCTGGGTCGGCGATCATTGCTCACGAGTCATGGCACAGTACCAAACCAGAATCCGATGTATGCACATAAGTGACGGTCCGACACGCAAGGCTGAAAGTCGTCAGCAAAGAGATGCCGAAACACGGCGTCGGAACGCTCGGTGAAGGGTTTACAAGTGAAGGCAGCAATCGGGAGGCCGCTGAGGGGCCGCTGGAGGCACGACTATTCTCTACAGAATGATGCATGATTGCCTAGCGGCATCCGCTTGGAATTTGGGCTGCCTTGATGTGCTGAACCAGACTTGATCGAGCTCAGAGGCAGTGGACAACTGCGGCTTCCACTTATTTCTACTGCGTCCGACTTGCCTCACTGAGCCTCTCTTGCAAAGCATCCATCCACCCACGCCCTTTCTTTACGATAATACGCTTCGGCAACCCGTTCAGAATGAAACCACACCTCCAACTCCCTATGATCGAAGCAAGGACATCTTTGAAGCCCGAAGATTGGCAGTCTATTACAACCTCCCTTTGCTGCGAAGACGGGGTTGATGAAGGTCCCTGTACAGCAAATAGAAAGGGGTCCTCAAAGGCAATCTCCCGGAGAAGATTCGTCGAAATTGAGTGACTCGCGACCATACTCCCCACCTGTCAGTTCCAAGGACCCAACTTGAACATGTTCGTGTGCACCCTTGCTGGCTATGTAGCGATTCGAAATGCGAGAAACCGGCGAAAGCCGGCAGAAACTTTGCATATGTGACGGTACAGGCGTCTCTGCAGCATAAGCTCATCACTTGCCGGAGGCTCGAGCCTAATGAGATGATTTCGAAAGATGGATGGCAAGAGACGGCGCACTCTGTGGCACAGTCTCCTAAGTAGTCTCCAAGTGACGGCCGCCTGATTGTGACGACGTATGACGTCACCCGCCTCACGAAGCGAAAACGCGACCCAAAACCGGTGCCCCTCTCTGTCAGCCGACCGCGGGGCTCGATCTCCACGTTGAGAAACTACAGAGTACATGGACTGTGGTACAAACTCATGGGGAAGTGGAACAGCGGAGCTAAGGGAAGGGCGCGCACTTACCTGCAAACTCTGCGATGGAGGCACGCTCAACGTGAGGTCCCCCCCCTCCATGTGCAGCTCTAGCAGCTCGGTCTTTTCGGTCAACTGGATGGTAACGTCTCCGCCGGACGTCCGCAGGCGCGCGGCTCTGCCGGGAAAAAGCGGTCGCGAAAAATCAGAGGCATATTCCCCCGCGAGGATTTAGAGCAATATCTTGCCGCGTAAATCAGAGGCTCATCGTGCCACAAGACTCGACTGAGGTCGGTCATGGGCAAACGCACTCAAGCCAACCACTCAACAGAGTGCTACGCGAACGATTGCACTGCAGGCGACAGGCAGCGTCTTACTTTGGAGTAGCAGTAAAGAGGCACAGATCGTCCCATTCTCTGGGCACAAGATCAAAACTTGCTCAAGGATCCGCCAGAAAAGGAGAGACGCCGAAGAACCCGGTATCTCTTCCACTGATGCCGGGAATTCTGATGTCCAGGGAAAGCGGAAAGACTGGAGACTCACCCGTCGAGTTTGTCGACTCTTATGTCACCAGTCCCCGCCTCAATCTGCATATACGGATCCTGCTTCTCAGCCCCTTTTCCCTAATAGCGCCTTTTTTGAAGGGCAAACGCTGTATTGTTAGTACCGTCCTTTTGTCATTGTCCTCTGGCTCTTCGTTTACGAAGCATTATGGTCACTCACAGACGGCGGCACTGATTGCAAGCCATTGCAGATGCATACGCGATGGAGATGGGGCCATAAGCGGGCTTTGTTTAGTGCAACAGTGTCGATGTAATCAGAGACTTCGCAACTTCTTGCCAGATCTGCCCAGTGTCCGACTGATCAACCGTCGCACTCCTTTTGCGCGCTGCTTATCACGTGCTGATAAGAGTCACAGAATCGTCTTCCCAGAGAGAACTGCGTGCTAGGACATTACAAACACAAAATTCGTCTGTGGACGGCCCGCTCATTTTGGTTCTGCCGCGGGCTGGTGTAAGTAACAGAGAACTCCAAAGGGCTACAAGTCTATTACAAACAAATGCTGGTATTTGCGCAACGCTGGATCAGCTTGACGGTACGCCAAACCAGCAACCAGTGAACAAGCGCCAGGCAACGGCAGCGGACAAGATAGATAAACCTTTGGAACCTCGTAAGCCCGTGACGAGTACCGAATTGGCAGCGAAAGCGGCTGCGGGGCCTACCCGAACGTTCGGTTCCACAGTAGAGCGCACGTTTCTGCAGACTCGGCGAAGCGCAGCCCGAAGTAACTCAATCCTCGGACACTCAACCATTCTTGAGGGAAAACAAATACACGAGCGGAAGCGGACTCCCGGACTTACCCGGACGTTCGGTTCAAAACCGGCTGACGTTTCTGCAGGCTCGGCCCGGCGCAGCCCAATGGAACTCAATCTTCGGACACTCGTTTTCTTGAAGAAAAAAATGACTAACAGCAGAGGTGGACGCCCGGACTTACTCGGACGTTCGGTTCCAAACCGGCGGACGTTTTTGCAGGCTCAGCGGAGAGCAGCCCGAAGCTGCCCAGCGTCTCTATGTGGATGTTGCCCCCCTGGAATTCAGGTCGAAGGACTCTGCAACAGGATGACATCTGCTTACTTTGATGCGGATAGATGCATGGGTTTTTGATTGGATGGAAGGACACGTCAGCAGTGGCGTCTCAATGTGGATGTTGCTTTTCTCGGAGTTCGGGTCGAAGGACTCTGTGACGGGTTGTTATCTGCTTACTTTGTTGCGAACAGTTACATGGATTTTTCTGATGGATGGAAGGACACGTCAGCAGTGCGACTCGATGTGGATCTTGCCCCCGTCGGACTTCAGGTCGAAGGACTCTGCAACAGGTCGGTGTCTGCTTACTTTGTTGCGAAGAGGTGCTTCGATTGGTTCGAGAGGATGGAAGGACACGTTTGTGGTGTTTTGACACAGTGACAGCGGGGTTTGCAGTCGCTTCGAGACTCTACGTGCCCTTTTGGTTGCATCAGCGAGCGACCAAAATGCCGGGAATACATGGTAGATGGTCGCTAAGCGATGTCAGGCGTAAGGAGGATCACGACGCTCCTTTCATAGAAGGATGCCGAGCTGTTCGAAGAGGCTCAAAACTTGGCCGGCTTAACATCAGGGTCATTATCAGACTCCTGCAGAGATGACGTTGCCTCCGTGAAGATTGTCCGAACAGAAGACGATGAAGCGTCGTTACTGTGTTTGATCAGTTATTCCTGACGAGCGCAAGCCGTAGCCAGCTGTTTGAAACAAACCCTCTCCACGCATACTGTGTGACAGCTCAGTTTACGAGAGCCGGCCTCGAGTTCTAACGAAAGCACGGCGAAACCTTGCTTAGACACACTTCCGAAGACAGTGAAAACTTAGACGCCAAGGCCTCACCGTCTGTTTTTCGCCATTCAACACGATCGGGTTTTACCCAGGGGTCCAGGCACCACAAAGGCGGCCACTTCGCTGCATCCACAAATCCTGCTGCTTTTCTTACTCTCAAGAATGAACCCCTTAGCCTGCTGGCTACCAGAACATTAATTGGGTAGGTCACTTCAAAGCAGAAAAAGGAGCAAAGAAAAGAAGCGGGTCGCAGAATGACAGCTCTCACCTGCGTATACGGACCTGATTCTGCAATCGCCGCCCCCGCTGTCAACAGTCACCTGGTTGCCCATCAGCTGGCCAAGCGACAAGACCCCTCCCTGTGTGTCCAGTGTAATGGAACCCGACAGCTGCAGAATCCTTGAGGCCTCTCTTAGATGTGGAAAGAGAGTCTTTACGAGATACGCGGTTTTGAGATGCTTCATCCCTTTTAACCACTTCGGCAAGATCACTCTAAATTTCACCATAGGACGCTTTTTAATTGAGGTAATTTGAGACCGTTCAGTTAATCTCTTCTCTACACAACAGCCGCGCCCTTCCTATGCAGGTTCGACTATACAACGGTAAACAAACAAGCGCGCCTTTCTGGCATGAGGGTGGAAGGAGACGTTGAAGATGTCGAGATTCTTAAAGCCTAGCAAAATCAGCGGGTTCTTGCTGGCATGCATTGTAACGTAAGTTGTAGCTCCAGAACCAACCCCTCCCCGAGTACAGGTGGATACCGGTGGGTGCGACCGCGGAGCGAATAATGTTTTAGTTGAGGTGCCCGGGGCTTCTTACCAGAAAGTCTGCTCGTTAATCAAACAACGTTAATAGAGTAGGGGGTAAGAGTAACTTACCAGCTTTGCTTGTAGTGGCCCCCCCCGGGTGGTGACGGTTACGTGCTCGGATCGAATCTTGCCTGCAGGCACGGTTCCAAGAGGACAGGGACATCAGCACAACGGCAGATCAACGGACCGACGAAAGCCGTCCAAGAGAAATAGCGTCGCTACTTGGATTAGCTGATCAGAAAGCCACAATTGGGAGGCGTGCAAGGAGGCAGGGTACCGTTGGAGAGATTGTGTAGAGCAGGAGTAATCGTCTACTCAAAATGGCGTTGTCCCAAGTGTAAAAGGCGCGCTCGACGCCCAATTTGATACCGGCATGTTTGTCACCATACTTGGCTTTGACAAAATCCTTCGAGCAAGTTGCCATCTTAAAGTAGTGCTAGAAGAAAGCAGGCATTGGGTTGAACCAGTACGGAAAAAGACTAGATACCAAGGGGCAAATATCTGATGGGTTTTGACAGTTTTCATCAATCGGGCCAACGTGCAAAAGACGCCCGAAGGGCTGCTCAGCCGCGTTGTGACTCCTAAACAGGCTGGATCTTTCAGAAAGGGCTTCTCACCTAAGTCAACGGCTCCGCCAGTGGTCTCTACTTGCAAGTCGCCTTGATTCTGCAGGAGATTGGTCAGTTCTGTTTGTAAGTGAAGTGGGGCTGTCAAGAAGGCAGGGAGTAAGGTAGAAAAGGCACAATCAGCTGCTCGAACATCATAGCAGTTCAATAATGAACATTATGATGATAGTAATCGTTGCTTCTACAACCTCAAAGTACAGGCCTTTTGTCAAACTTCCTGGATACAGGACACAAACAAAAAATGCTTTAAGAGTCTACGAAGCGGAAAGAGCAGTAAGGAAAGCGGGAGAAGAGGAACTGGCAATGAGAACACTCCTGTCTGACACTCATATAGAAGGATTGACCGCAGAGGCACTTACAATGTTCGCCACTGAGACGCTGCCGAGCCCGCCTTTCACTTCGACGGTGCAGAACCGCTCAGGTACCCAGACTTGTATGAGATCTTTCAGTTCATCCCCAGCCGAGATATCTGTAACGATATGGGAAACAATCATTTGCGATTTAAACCACATGGGACAGTGTTTGAGGAGTGGAGGAACAAAAACCGTGCTGATGCAGTACTCTCAGAGCCTGTTCACTGTGCAGTGCGCATCCAATATGTGACCATGACATGAAAGTGGAAGAAGTTGATGCTATATAGTGGGACACAACGTACAGCGGTCGATATGAATGCGTGTGAACAGCCACAAACAGAAAGTCTTCATCCCTCGAGTTCTCAGAAGCTACCAGCCTTTGCGGAACTGCTTACGTATAGTGTTCTCTTGTGAGTCCAGCTGTAGAGAATCGGATCTGCATTGCACCGTCACAGCCTCTGGGTCGGAGTTGACCCCCACAGAGATCCCTGGGGCTTCTGGGGGCAGATTTACCTGGACAAGGTAAGGCAGACATGCTGATCAACCCCGGCATTGACCGCGCCGGTCGCTTCAAAAGGATTGTTAAGAGGAGTCAGGGCCTTACCTGAGAATCGTAGGATCATAGTAGCTGCAGGCATCAGACATGACAGCCAGCTTTTCATGAATGTTCCTCACTACATCAATCTGGCACCCATTGAACAACCTTGCAAGGTCAGTATCACCATGGTCCTCATCACCATGATGACTTTGCTGCCAAATGTCCAGACATTATCTAGGCATCTTTGTAGAGCGCCTATGATGTTCAGGGTGGTGCAATTCAACAGAAAGCTGACAGCACACTAGTTGCAAAGTCTCCATTTATTGAGAAGGAGGACTGAAGTTGATATTGCAACCAAGCTTTGTGCACACCACCCTCTGGAGATAGTAGAGAGCTTCCTCGCAAGCACAGGGAAGGGAAACCCTGGCTTCCCTGCAGTCCTCGCACCCAAGCCCAACTTATCAGCACAGCCAGCAATGCTCGGGCTTACCAAGAGCTTACTCCCCACTGCCACCGGAAAGTGCCAGCTTGCTTGAGCCTCCGCTTGCTGCTCTGTGGCCTGTCCGCTGAATTGACGAACAAACTGAGTGTGGCCTGGAACAACTGGCGCGGATAGCAGAGGTCCAAGCAGAGATGTCTGCGCCCTGTCGTTTGCCTGATCACATTGGGCGATGCTGATCGAGGCGCAATGCTGCGCTGCCACTGCTGATAGGGCGGGCAGTTGGGCAAGCACACGCTGCCAGCGTGTGATGGCTTGCCTGGCGAAATGTTTTGGAAGCGCCATTGCTGGTACCAGGATGAGATTCTGAACACCCAGGGCCGTAGCGAAGTTCGATGTTTTGTCTCGAGACCCAGCCCGTCTTCCAGAAAGTGCAGTGTGAAAGGAGCTCGAACTGGCTCCAAGCTGCCGTTTCTGGGGGCCGGTCGAGCGAGGCCACTGTTTGCAGACTACAGAAAGGGTGGGCCTCGGTAGCCGTCCGGTGCCTGCGGGGGAGTTTCTGAAGACGTCTGGACGCATTCACACTTATTGTTCTTCTCCGGTGCATGCGTCATGAGAGCTCTCGAGCGCTGCATTTGAGATTTGGCTGCACTCCGGTACTACCGT